GTCTCATCTCTCGAGCCAGACACGATGCGTGTCCCATCCGGCGAGAATGAGACTGAGGTAACGAAAGAAGTGTGCCCCAGCAAGGGCTCGCCCACTGGCTGCCCAGTCGCTGCATCCCACAGCCGCACAGTGCGATCATCTGATCCAGTCGCAATGCGAGTCCCATCCGGCGAGAACGAGACTGACCTAACTGTAGCAGTGTGCCCGCTGATCACAGTCTGAACAGCCGTCCAGTTGATATCACGTCCAGATGCCACACGAAGAGAGTTGGGAAACCGTGCAGAAAACGTTCTGGATAGGGCAGAGTTGAGAGGCGAGAATGGCAGTGCTGATACATAGAGATGAGGTGTGCTGTGCAAGATGAGGCCGCCGAAGACTTGGATAAATCTCTGCACGTCCATTGCAGCGGATGAGGCATCTTCGTATCCGGTGTCACCCTGCGATTGCAGTTGCGCGTGAGTATGTTATCTGACGCTCAATAGCTATGCGCTCACCTTCAACCACTTGGCAATAAGCGGAAGGGCGGGGACTGCGCCGCTGAGCGCATCCATAAGGCCGAGTACCTCAAGCCAGAAGAACAGCCGCTCATGGTCAAAGAATGATTTGATTTCTTTGGCGAGGTTTGGATCGAAGTGAGTTGTTTGTACGTGGACAGGCCAGAATCGGCAGGCATAGGATAGATGTGGGGGGATGCATTTTTTAACTCGTTCTCGCAAACCGGGATCTTCAGAGTTGGGGAGATACGATGATTTTAGGTCGCAGATATTGAAGGAAAGTCCATGTTCCATCACTCGAAGTGATGCGAAAGCAAGGTCGCGTTGTACCTTCGACACGTCGACGAAGAACTCTCCGCTGCATTTAGGGTCTGTGAGGAAATCGCGGAAGGAGGCATGAAGGGGTCTGATTGGGGTAGATGAGTTGGTGGTGCCGCTGAGGAGGGATCCCATATGTTCTACTATGACCTCCACTTTGTGACGCTCGCTTTCATCTAGAAAATGGCTCCGCATGGCATTCAGGGAATTCAGAGGGAGGGGTTCAACTGTGCCGAGAATTTGTCCCATCACGGAACGAAATGTCGCTAGCCTTGTTTGCTGAAACTCGGGGTTTGTATGTCTATCCTTTCGCATGATCTCCGTCAGAATGAAGTCATACATATCGTACAACAAGTGCTCCCGTTCGACAGGATCGCGGGACACCATAACATTAAAGGACTGATTGGAAGATAAGCCAGCAGGGGGTTCTTCGATGGATTCGCAAGCAAGACGTGCCCACTCGAAAAGACCGTCAGCTTTCTTGGCGAGCACTGTAAACTCTTTGCTCCCAAAATGCGAAAGTCCCTCCAGCTTCTTCGACACGTAAGCGTAGATATCACGTTCCGCGACTTCTGGTGAAATGTCATCCATGGAAATCCTTCGAACGTATTGAACGCCTGCAAACGCATTCTGAATGTCGCGAAGCGGGCGAGAGGTGACGATAATCCGGAAGTTGGCTGGGAGTTCAGTGATTCGTTGAACACCTAGTTTGCCCGCAAGAATGCGGAGAATGCGGAGCCGTGTCTCGACTCCACCGCTCTCGTCCAGTGCGTCTATTATGATGACGACAGGTCTTACAAATGACCCCGAGGGCTTCCCCAGTGGTTTCATGAGTAGCTCGTCCCACTGCTGGACGATATCTACTGTAGTCTTGAGCGAATTGGTATCTTTAACTGTCTCTGCCAATGCTCGTCTCATCTCCGGATCACGGTCGGCTAGGTCGCGCGCGATCGTAGAGAAAATCTTTTCATGACGACGGTCGGCATCTCGCTGGTGATCGAAGCAGTAACATGAACCGAGCCCTCCCACATCGTTGAACCAGTTAGCAATCGTGTGGGCAATGGCCGACTTGCCCTTCCCTGCGGGGCCAGATAGCCAGAGCACGCGCTGAACATTGTCTCCGGTGCTGTTGACCCAGTCTGTGATCTCAGAGATAATTTCCGTGCGCGTCCCTGGCAGGCATTGTTTCCCAGTATCTCGTCCCGCTCCATCCGCATACGTCATACCGCTTAGATCTAGTGTTTCGCCTGGAGACGCATGAATAGACGTCGATTCAGAACCACGTACAAACCCTTACCTGTACGATGGACATAGATGGCTACATCGCGAGTGACTTGTTTCTGGAAGTTGTCCATCAGCTTATCCAACATTCCGCCATACCCTCGAATTGCACCATCTGTTTCCCGGCCTATGTTCTTTCCGGCTCTACTCCCTACGATAATAGTAGGACATTGAGACTGTGAAAAGCGCAGTGACTTGCAAAGACCCACAAAAGTTCTTAGTCTTCGAATAATCTCTGATAAAATTGGCACATTCAAGGGTCTGCTCAGAAATTTTTCCAAGGATAGTGTGCATTGACGAAATCTGGTGAAGCCTCTTGTCTTCTGTAATGAAGGCGTAAACGTCACCCAACTTCTGGAGAAGGCCGAGTATCGCTGTATCGCAATCCGCTTGAGCGAGAATTACCTATATGCATGCTAAGATAAAGATGCGAATAAGAGCAAAACCAAACATACTTTTGCGGCCCAGGACAACACGCCCAGTGCCATCTTTGCATATGGATGTACCTATGGAACGGGGTTAGTTCGGTTCCGATCGAGAGACATGGTCCATACCTCCGCGAGCGTCCCGATAATACTGTCGAATATCCTGAGGGGTTGAAGATATGTATCCTGGAAATTATATGCAGCCTCGAGACCCGCTGATGCATTTTGGACGGTGGATGCTCCCGATGTCACGTGTCCCGAAAGTGGCTTCATGAGTTTTACAGCCTCTTCGGCGTTCTGAAGCGCCGATTGGAGATCGGCGCCTTGTTCTGCACCAGGGGGAGCATCCCGAACCTGAGCGACGATTAAAATTTAGAGAGAGAGAGAGCAGCAGGTAAAAGGTGACCTACCTGAATCGATGAGGCGCTTTCACCGTCGACATTCTGAAGAACAGGGTTGCGGCTGTGTGAATCCTTCGAGTGCTTTTATACGATCACATGTCACATGAGCCTTGTTCCAGGAAACTCGGGATCCTTGTCGACTCACAGAAACCTTTTTAGTCGCATTCTTAAGCTTCCTTAGAAACCGACTAATTTTGCCACGGCGTCTGCCCTGGATGAAGGATGCACCAAAGTTAGTGTTTCGAGTGAAATGAGAAGTGGTCCTCATCAGCGACATACCGAACTTTCACCAGCGGTTGCTTCACCGGATGCGCGGTTTTCGGGAGGAGGATTTTGTCTTGAGTTCCTAGATTGATTGTGTTCACTCATCGTTTGAAATAATGATCAGTCTGAAGTTTGAACAAAGTTGGGTGTGATGAATGGCTAGTGGAGAAAGGGTGGGTCCCATACCCTTGACCGCAAGCCTCGAGGCAATATTTGCTGCTGTATTGACTGGGCGCTTGAACTTCGAAACTCCGGGCAAGGAAGTCGAACTTACAAGTATCTTCCATATTCCAACTTGTACCGACGTCTGCCTCGAGAATATGAAAAACGCTGTGCCGATCGCGGACAAGTCGGTGAGTGATGCATGCGCGCAAGACTTGGCAGTGGCCTTTCAGTCACTTTGAAGCTTAAGGTGACAGATCGAGAAGTACTGGCCGTGACGGATCCGACGGCCCGGTCTACTGTTGTCAATTAGAACATCGTCCGCAGCTTGCCGCTTGTGCTTAAATTTCGACCTTCGTGCTCTGCGCATTGACGAAAGCCATATTCTGTGAATACTACTAGCGAATACGCACTTGCGACTTGGCGCCCGCTGGTAACATACCTTTCGCACCAGTGCGTCGCTCTCACAGTTAGTTGCCCCGAACTATTACATTCCGACATTGAATGATTTTTCGGTAGTAAACTGCTCTCCGTTCGTTTCTCATCTGATGGTCCATCATTGGAATTCTCCATGGTAGTTCCTGACGATATAATCGGGATGGGAATGTCGCAGCTATCTGCTGAGAAGTGCGTGCTATGCATGAGCGATTATCTAACTGACTCGATACTTTGAATTTAGCAGTGGATACCCGCACCCGCGTCCCGTATCGCTTTCCGCCACCGAGCTCTATCATTGTATGTATTAAATACTTCGATATCGTGCACATTCCTCATTATGAAATATAGAACCCTAATTTTGCCACAAGTTGTACGCAGGAGACGTACCTGAAGCGTCTCATCTCGCAATGTTTACCCCCCTCACTATTGTCAGCCAGCTCGACGAGGGAGGAAACTGTCATGCGATCATTCAGGCGTTCGCTTTACCATCAGGGGGATTACCCCCGTATCCTCACCTAATCTTCAACTCACCCACGAAGGACATTGCTATCTCGATATCGAACTTGTTTTGCTTTTGTGCGACTCCATGACCAACACCGTCACATTGCATGAGACTTAACCTGACGAAGTACTTTGCCCACCGAGTAACGTTATCCCCTCCTCTACCAGGGGAGAAATTAGGGAATATATCTCTCCACCGAGCAGCTTTTTCTGTACCAGGTTATGCTAACCCCATGAAGTTTACCACGTCATTTGACGGGCACGCGCGTGGTATCTGTGTTCTTCATAACGAAAGGGATGGAACAGAATTCTACGGATTTACGATCGACGTTAGTAGTATGGATAAGCCCTGTTCGGGCATCGTTGGGCCAGGAGTCGATATCAAAGAGGTGGAAGCGAAAGAGTCGTCTCCCTCGTCTTTGAGGATGACGTGGAATGAAAAACTGGCATTCGACGGCTACTTGGGTAGAATCTGTTACAGGAAACGGGGTCAAGCAGGAAGGATAGATAGTGATGTATTGTATACGCTTTAGATCTTGCTTAGTGGTAAAATAGCTCAGCGACAGTGTGTATGGTGTAAGGAACTTGCTACACACATGCCGCATCCCGGGTACAGGCAGTTTACACCATAGCGTGGACAAATAAAGCTCTCCCAGTTACTCAGCACTGCACTGTACCATCGTATAAACACAAAGTACGCATCGACGCCATCATACTCAAACCTTCCCAGCGGCAGCAGCAGCGTTCTTTTTCTGTTCCTTCAGCTTCTCAATCCGCTGCAAAAGTCAATCAACATGAGCCACTACACCTCCAAAGAAAGAAAGAAAAAACTCACCAACCGTCTCTCCTCCTTCCTCCTCGCCATCTCAGCCGCCTTCTCCTCCTTAGACATCCCAGCCATACTAATCGGCGGTGTGTTGTCAGTAGTATTCGGGAGAGGTCGAGGGGATGATACTGGCGTTGATCGAGCGCTTGAAGCAGGTGAGAATGCTGGTGCAAGGGTGGAAGGCACGATGGATCTGCGGGGTTGCGGGGAGTGCGTGCGTGAGATCTGGGAGGAATGTGACGTCTTCCATAGATCAGGCGAGCGACTTGTAGGTCGAGATGAAGATGCCATTGCGCTCCATTCATCAGCAACTATATCAGATAAATCAGTAGGGAAATGATGAAGAAGTACGTGATACATACTTGGAGAACTGGCCCGCAGTGACATGCCGAATCCTAGACCATCGGTTGCACTCGCGCGCTTTGATTCCGCGGCAGGTGGAGCGCTCTCGAACGCGCCTACAGAGAAAAACGACCTCAGTTTGGATCCGGCGATATCTTCAAAGGGCAAGGAACATACTCCAATCTCCTTCATCAGCATTGATATCGATCAAATCATCGTTCCACAGACGACTACTGCCCTGCCCTGCCTCGTTAGCAACCTCTTCAGCGAGCTGCGCAGCGAGCGTAGAAGTCGGGGCTTTATTTCCACCCAGCTGTAGGCCTTTGCTTCTTAATGGATTTGCGGAGGGAGAAACAGATGACACAGGCAGAGAACTGGCGCGCCCATTGATGTTTGGTGCCGACATTGATGCGTCTATAGTACTCGAGATCGTTGTTTGCATGTCCGCAGGGGCAAGCTGAGCGGTAGATTTTTGTGAGTTATCAACTTCAGCGAAAACAAGTCAAACGCACCTTTTTGCCGAGGGACGATACAGCCCACCCTGTCAGAGCGGCTGCTGCGCCCGTCGCTGAGTTCACAAGGCCAGCCTGCGTGTATGCACCCGGAAGCCTCGCTTGTAGATCTTCCCCGCCGTCTTCTGCGGATGCTGTCTCCGGCTATGAAGAAAGGTGTATGTAAGTAAAACAAACTGGGTTATGTACAATAGACCTACCATAGTCGAAGCGTGAGCCTCTAAACGCTTGATGAAAAGCTCGACAGCTTTGAAGGCCTGGTCACGAACCAACCTATACATTTGCAGCCGCATCAACATACATCAAAGTAGCAGAACGAGAGCAAACTCACTTTTCTTTATCCAGCGTAGCACCTACAACAGCTGAAACGACTTTACTAGCCACGTCGTCGATGTCGAAGCACTCCGCGGTTGCCATGAACGCCATAACCCCCGCCACCCGAGCGTGGACGAACGAATCCTTGAGCGCCATGCTGAACGCGGGAACGAGAACTTTTCGTTTTGTGTTATACCCTAGCGAAGGGCCCAGCCGGCCGATAAGAATACACGTGTTAGTGCGGATGGAGGCTTCTGGGTCTGATTGAAGGCGGGCGAGGTGGCGGAGGAGTTCGTTGTTGAGTATACGGTCGGATAGCTGCACAAATCATTATTAGTGACATTGTTTATACCTGAAAATCAACTTACCTTGGGAGAAAGTAGGACGATAGCGCGGACAGTAGCTTCTCGAATGACAGCGACTGTGTCAGTGAAACCAGTTTGCTGCGTGGATGAGGATTAAATGAGCTGCCCTGCAAGAATGGACGGAACATGGATCATACCAGGTTTGGCCAAATCTTATCGACTACTGTTTTCTTATCCAGTTTTTCGGCAAAGTCGGGGAGATTGTCGAGAAGCGCGATACGTGTGCCACGGTCGGCACTCGCAAAGAGTTTAACCAGGGGTGCCACAACGACTGAGCCATAGTCGTCGTGTGCGACGTTCTTTCCGAATTGGAGGACGAGAGGCACGATGGTTGCTGCTGAGGCACCGCCGAACTCGAGTGCGGAGGCAAGGCATGGGAGGATACGGTAAGAGACGAATTCGGGGGGAAATGAAGATGCGGATTCCTTTAGCGTCCTACCCATCCAAGTCACTGAGTGGTTGATGGGGACATTTGAAAATTAACACGTACCGTAGTAATGATACCTTGTCAGATTCACTACTCAGGGTGAATCCGTCCAGTCCAGCGCAGACCTTGACAAGCCGGTTATGGACGAAAAATCCACGTCCTTCTCCATCCGACTCTGCCATACCAATGTCTAGCAGGTTCTTGGGTGACATTCGTAATTTTGCATTCGGGTTAAGGAGCTTTTTGAAGGATGAAAAGACGGACAAGGGTATGGCACCTCTAGAAGAGACTTGAGGCGGTGGATGGGGAGGCTGGGCAGTCGGTGGTGGTGGGTGGGTGGGATTGAAGACGGCATGTAGAAGTAGACCGAGAGCGTATCCATCTGCAGCTGGTACTGGTAGGCTGTGCACACATTAGAAAGGCGGCTGAATGATGTTGTGAGTGTCGAAAACTGAAAACTCACTCTTTGAGGGCAGACCAACCCTCTTTCTTGACTTCTGGCGGTGCACATGCCATTGCGTCTGGCATGAGGCCGCCCATGGTCTGCAAGGGAGTGGTTACTGAGAACTTGGAAGCGCACAAAAGACAGAAAAGGACGTACATATATAACAGAAAGATCATCTTTTGGATTGCTCAACACCTCGAAGCCTCCCAACTTCCACTCTCCTGAAGGGGTGATAAAGACGGCATTTGGACGGACATTACCATGGGTTGAGGACGCGGAATCATTGAGAAACGCAAGAGCAACCTGGCTCAGAATGTCAGTAAGGCCTTAACGTAGACGAGATGGGCATTTCTGACTGAAATCCGGTGTAGTCCCCAAATCAGCCAGTCCTCTCGCTCGCGTGGAACATTGGAGGATGATTGGGATAGCGCGAGGGGTAGAGGGCGAACCCTTTCGGTCATGATGCAAATGGCTGAGTCGGATTCCACGACATCGATGAATTTAAGTACATCAGGATGTCGTATGGTGCGTAGCTTGCGGAGGGAGTTGCGGGCGAGGGGTATGGTGGACTTGTTGAGAGGATGGGTCAGATCATACTCGAATACTGAGACCAGGCTGCCATCCTCCTGCCTTGTAGATTAGCCTGAACACGACTCGGACTCGTGATATGATCAAGAACAGGAAACCTACCCGTTTAGTAGCGTCGTACAAGGTCCAGAATGTCTCGCAGGAGTAAACCTTGGCACCCAGCGAGAACGGTAGATTTAGCCCAGATTTCTGGACTAGAGTCGATACTGCAGCAGAGCCGAAGCTGCGAAGATAGTCCATAAAACCCTCGAGTTATACCAACTAATCGAGTGCGAACGAAGGAAAGAACGTGTCTGCCGCTGCGCCGCAGACACTAAGTGCAGGTGACTGCTACTCACGCAAACATTCACTTTGACACGTATGATACACATTCACTCTGGCGTGAAACCGCGTCCTTTGAATTAGTAGTGGTGCTACGAGTAGTGTACACAGGAAACAACGTATATGATATCTGTTCTGTAATGACTGATTTCGTGATATCCGTTTCAGAGGTTCAAGATGCCCATGAAGGTCCGATACCCCGATACTATGCTCAAACCCGCCATGTTGTACCCACCCTTGCTGACACGTGCACGCAGTGACACAGTAGCCTAAATGTATTATTTCATCTCAAATGAAGCACGGGGACCATTAGCAGAATGGAGGGTCAGCTGCATTGAAGTTGTCGCAGATGTAGATGAGTCAGGCCCAATGTTTCTGGAAAAGGGCGGGAATACCAGGGCCATAGACGCGAGTCACGCGACACGGCATCAAGAATATGCATGTCGAAGTAGACGCAGTCAGGATTGCTTCGACGCATCAGCTTGGAGCTCGTCGAGCGGAACACGAACAAGCCGTTCTCCGGTAAGTGGTAGGGTGTCGTCACTGGGGTCTGACAAGTGCTGTTCCCGGCTGTTCACTGCAGAATAATCAGATCGCTAGCTAACACAGTTGGAACTTTGCTCACAGAACAGACTCAAACTTTGGAACATCAGAGGCCACTGTTCGAGCACCTGACCGTGTACTGTTCGAGAAATTAATGATAGACAAGGATCAAGACTAAAGGAAGAAACCTTGGCCAGCATCAGCCATAACCTCACAATCATCTGCAAGACCTTCGATGCGTTTTAGGAAAAGAGCACTAGCACGTTCAAGGGCAGCAACGGCCTCAAACTCTTTCTTTTTCTCCTGTAAACGTGACGTTGCTGCCGCATTATTGGCCTGCGATGCTAGGGATGCAGCATGTGAAATACGACTCGGAGCAACGGACTGACGCATAGTTTCTATTTGCAAAGGAAGTGGTTATTGACGACGATGAGTTTACGGCGTTGGACATTAATTTAAAAGTCCGACGCAGTTTGCCGACAAAACACTTTGACATTTATTAATACGTACATGTAGTACGCGCACGACGTACTTGAGAACACACACACTTTGTGCATGTACATCAAAGGATGGCATCATGATGTACATGAACAAAGTGTCTTGTTTACGTTCATCCGTTGATTTAAACTTAAGCTACAGATTGCGCTTCTGCACTTTTCAAATATCAGCGCTGGGTCGGTATATAGTGACGTCTTCATTCTGATTTCTAAATCAGTTCATCACCGTGATGAAGGCTGCAGACGGCCAATACGTTCGTTCCTGTCATCGTGCAAAACTTTATCTATCTGATCGTGTTGGGTTTGTCGTTGTTCCGGTGACTTCTTGTCTACTCCCTTGTTCTGCCTCACATCGTTTCGACGGCTTGCTTCATACCTGCTCTCCAAGTCCGACTCCCTCTGTTTGCAGTGGCCCCGCTTCGCGTTCCGCTACTGCTCCGAGATACCCTGTCATTATAAGATGATGAGACGCCTGCTTGGAGACCAGCTCGCGAGGACTAAAACAGTGTCCGTGGCGTGCTCTTGCAAAATAGAGTTGGTGTTTTGGGCAAGGTGGTGAGAAATTCACTCGGTACACAACATCGTGAAGCGATCGTATGAATACTGGCTCGAAGGCCAATAGTGAGGGCATTGGAGAAGATGACTGCCATTTTTGACCAGGTGATGGCAGCACCTATTCGACGAATAGTAAACGCCTTTTCCCCCGTACGTGTCTCTGACATTGTGCAATATGTAGGATGGGTAACGGTGAATGTCCCAAGTCCAAACTCTACGTGTGCTTGCGTACGTGGAGACCACGATCAACAAAGCGCTTTCTTAAGTCGATGTCGGCCACCGAATGCTTAACGCCTGCTTGCCGTCTGACATAACACGGTCAACACTGCCTTTACACTGGGTGTGGGCGGTTGTTCAAACTTCAAACGACGCAGAACTCACTTTCTGCAACTTCTCGTATCCTGCTTCGCACAGACTGATCCACGAGTGACAACCTCGACTATTTCCAATGAGCGAAGACAAGGGATTCGAGGCCAGTTTATCTTACAGAAGCGCAAATCTAGCGAAGTAATCGCTGGTAGAAGCTAGGTACGTTGCTCATGAGGATCACTTGAAACGCTGATTCTAACGCGTGCTTCGTCCAGGGCCGACCCCGTGGCAAGATTCATTGGTTTCTGGGGAAGGTTGAGAATGGTGACCGAGAATACTTCTGTGAGTCGACAAAGATGTATAATTAGCGTCCTGGAATAAGGCTGAGATCGTCCAAAAGCGCTCGAAGGTACGATCCTCTTATCACGAACCCCGGTCATGAAGGTAACTCATCGACTCCGAGTAACCAGGTGGGTCTGACGTGGAAAATGGTGCTGATCCCTAATCGGTATGTTTAGCTGCTACAGAAGCTACAGAGCGCATGAATCCACCCTATGACATCTGTCGCGTCTACAGCCCAAGATGCACTAGCGAATCTCGAGCCTGCATATGACTTCCAGGATATCTTTGACCCCTCAGAATAATTGACTCCGTTGTTTCGAAGATAGCTGATGTATGCGCTCTTGCTCTCGACATAGGACGCGTTGAGCTTGATTTGAGCCACAAGGCACATGAATAACACTGGCGGGATTGTCGAGATGAGTGAGCTCCCAGCCTTCTACATCACTCGCATTTAATCAATACGACACATGTAGACCTAGGTACTGTTGAACTTCAGTTCATGCATGGAGGTTTCCAAATGACATGACTTGCATGGGATGATGTGTATTTCCCAACAACCAACTGTGCAGATGACCTGACGCCCGTGCGGAGAACCAGTCGCGATGCGAGTGCCATCCGGAGGGAATAGGATTGATGTAACCACGCTCTGTAACCATGTTTTTACCTGTCAACGATGTCTGTGAGTCCACGGGTGGATTGCTAGTTGTATCATTTTGTTAACTTCAACCTCGTGGGTGATTACTTATTAAATTTGATACTCCGACAAGCTGAGGGCCTGAGGCTTTTGGATCTGGAGCTCTCTTGATACATTTGAAGTCCAACTTTTAACGCGCCTGCTTCAACTACGTACGTCGTTGATCACGCGTTCAACTACTCGTTTGAAATGGACACTCGTGTATTCATGTGGGGGCCCTCACTCTCTTCTCACCGCTGTTTTGTTTCTTGACCGACTTCTCCGCTTTGGTACTCATTGGATGCATGATAAACAGGCGTTCGTCGAAGTGAAACGAACGTGTTCGATGCCACACCCAGTTATTTAACTTGTGGCGACGCGGGTGTAATACGGATTTATTACTAGACAGTCTGGTGAACAAGGTTCGAACGTTGAGTTTCGGCCGCTTCTCAGGTAAGTTATATTTTTATCCAAAAGCTCGCGATTATGCACCGGTTACTGACCTGCTGATCGAGGCGGCGCGCGTCAATCACACGGAAGGCCCTGTTCCTGTCAAGTTTACAGCAAGTCTTGGGGATGGACGTAAACCGCCTTGGAATGGAATACTTTGTTCAAAACATTCAACATCGCACAAGTGCTCTCCAGAACGTCGATGGCGGCGAGTACAGTATGGCGGCGAACCGCACAAACGTGCTGGTTTTCCATTGGTTCGGGTCTGGAATAGCAGGGAGCCCCACGAGCTCCAGGCGCTCTTTAATTTGGAAACGCTAGTCTCACACGTAATATGTAGCAGCAATCCGGAGGTTCACTGAAACGTGTGTTGCGCATTCATAAGGGCGTCGCATACAACTCTTTGCTCGACGCATCGAAACTGGCTCAGACGGCGAAAACTAGCCTTCCCTTGTATTTCCGAGCATGCTGCATAATCGCTTTGCTATCCTGCTTGCCATTTTGTCATGGCCAAGCATATTTGCCATGGCCCAGACCGTGGCATCTCGGGGGTACACACCTGTTGCTGCGAGATGTCCTGCAGGCTTCAACCTAGTGCGGATAGCTGGTACTCCTGGGAATCAGACCCTCAGCTCTTCCGAGGCCTCCTATGTCCAAAATCGCAAGACCAATGTCCTTCCGCAAGCCTGGAAAACTTATCTCTCAAATGTCTTATCCACCAATCCTTATCTCCCTGATTACGTCTCAAGCATTCTGTCGGGAGATAGTTCCGAGATTCCGACCCTAGGCATTGCAACGAGCGGAGGAGGGTATAGGGCTGCAATCTTTGGTGCAGGAGTGTTGAACGCACTAGATGCGCGGAATTCGTCTTCCGACGCCGCTGGAACAGGCGGATTGCTCCAGGCAGCAACCTATCTGTCTGGATTGTCAGGCGGATCGTGGTTTGTCACATCCCTTGCTCAAGCCAATTTCCCCACCATCCAAGATCTCATCTTTGGACCCGCTAGTCCCACATTGTCTAACAGTTCGTGGGGAGGATGGAACGCTGCCTATGATCTTGCAACGCCAAGCACGAACCTCTCCATAGATTCGGAGTATTCTGTGGATCTTGCGGAGGAGTTGCTTGGAAAGTACGAAGCCGGTTATGTAGTGACATTTGCGGACTATTGGGGACGTACGCTAGCCAGACATTTTGCCAATGGCACTTTCTCGTCTAATTTCTATGACGAGTCGTACACCCATGGAGCTGGTATATTATGGTCTGCTGTTGCAAACACGTGAGTTCGTTCTCATTCCGTAGAGTCCGTTGGCTGATCCTGGTTATAGGACCTCCTTTGCGTCCTATTCCATACCATTCCCAATTGTAGTCGCAGACCTTCAAGCTCCGGGCCAGAACTCATCTGAGATTATTGCTGAAGACTTCGTCCCCTTAACCAATCCCCTATTTGAGTTCAATGTTTGTGAGTTAAAAAAACACGGTCTTTTGTTCACAAGCCCTGAACGTCATCTGAACAGTCGAAACGGGTTCTTTTGACCCGCAGCTTTCTGCATTCGCCCCAACCAAATATTTGGGAACGACAAATAACAGTATCTGTGTCACCAACTATGATCAATCTGCGCTTGTCGCTGGATCATCTTCTGAACTATTTAATGAGTATAATTTCACTGTGGGTTCCGTTCCGTTCTCTTATCGTTCATGCACGCCTAAACTAACGGCAGGATACCTTCAATTCGACTTATGGGCCTATTTTATCACTTTTGGCGAGTCTTATGCCTGAACCCGACGTTGAATACGATGTTGCTTCTTGGCCAAACCCATTCTATGGTGTAGCGCCAGACACTTTTATTGATTCGGCACAAACGAATCTGAATTTGGTGGACGGTGGTGAAGACGGTGAAGTTATCCCCCTGCAACCTCTCCTGGTGAAGGCACGTGGCGTCGATGTCATTTTCGCCATTGATGCAGTAAGCAGTTTCCCTAATAGCGTGGCGATCTTTAGTTGATCTTCAACTCAGACCGATGATGTCGACGACTTCGCGGATGGTAGCTCTTTGATTGTGAGTATACACGGTTATCGAATAACTTTCACATCTGAACCCTTGCTAGGCCACGCAAAATCGTACTTCGCTTTACCCTTCTGCTTACTCATTCCCTCCCGTTCCCACTTCTCTGGGAGAATACACCGCACAAAACCTGACTACGCGCCCGACATTCTTTGGATGCAACACGACCAGTTTGAACGCAAGCACCCCGCTTCTCATATACCTTGCTAATGGTGGTCCACCCTACAATGGCGAAGCTCCTGTTACCAACACCTCAACGGATCAAACTTCCTATTTGTCGTCAGAGATCCAGGCAATGCTTAGCCAGACTTTTGTCATCGCGACCCAGGGATATCCAAGATACGGAGCAACGGAGGATCCAAATTGGCCGTCGTGTCTCGCATGCGCCGTCGTCGACCGTGCAAGGGAGCGAGCAGGGGTGGCAAGAAGTGGTATTTGCTCTTCCTGCATGAACAGGTATTGCTGGGATGGAAGCACGCTCACAACTACTGCACTCTACAGCGTATAGGCCACGCATTTGGATAGCTGGGCGCCTTCGGGGGTGGCGTCGGCTATTGTGGCCATGCTGATGATGTGAAGTGAATTTGTGCACACGGACATAGTCTGAGTTTTCGTTGTCAGACCTGATGCTTTTGGTTACTGTTGGCTGTTAACGAATTGGATGATTACTGGCATGACGTTTGCTTTTGCTGGTTTTGGGGATGCGGCGGTGTCGGGCCCTACTAATCGATTCTGATTCAGCGATGGCGGATCCACATCATAAGCGTCAGATACGACGACTACTGGCAAGAATTTCAAACGTGCGGCTACTAAGTAGACCTGCGGTGTTGATACTGACAGGAGCACGAAGCCGAGCTGTCATTGTTAGCCAAGGATAGGTAGAACTTGACATTCATGCATACAGACAAATTTGATCCTCCAACCCACTGAAAGGCCTCCTGTCCTCAGTTGTCATTATAAGTTGAACTACTTGCACTTTCTTGAGCGAATATGATCCGGGGCTGCGGCTTTTGCCAGACGAAAAAGGCAACCACGTGTTGTTTAGAAACTCCGCGAACCTATGCGAGCGTCGATAGATGGCAAAGTTGAGTACTGAGCGTTGCGTATCGGCCTCACCCGCTCGTCCTCGTGCTGCTTTCTCTTCCAACCTCTCGTTATATGGCGCAAGCGATGCTTCCTGGACTAAGTACGATGCAAATTTCTCCAGATGGATAGATTGACTTAGATGGATCCCAGAATTAAAAACTCTTGTCCTCGGAATCTGCCCGAGTCCTCATGGCAAACAAATCGCTGACGTTTAACGGCGTACATTCAACGGTCTGGTTTACTGCTCCGATACGGTATCGTCTGCATCCTACTGATACGTGATGCCATTCTGCTGATGTCGGATATTTCCTGTTCTGCCAACCTGATCATTTGATTCAAGTTGTTCATCATTGTAGTGGCGCCTGCTATGATAATCCGGAACATGATGCATGGTGGTCTACTCCCCCAAGGCGATTCTATCACTTGCTAGAGAATTTTCCATTTACTATGATCGTCAGGTCCCTCCACAGTCCTCGTTTCTTATCAAGTTATGACTCGGGGGTCTTCCGAGTCGTTGGTCTTGGCTGCATGTACTGGCACGTATTATCGTTTTGAATTTGTTCCCAGCGCGACTGTTACTAATGAAAATTGCGTTTCATAGCCAAAGCGAGTGTCACGGAGGCGAGGGGGCCGGAAGAGGAATATGGTATCCCGGAAGTAGATTACTTGCGAGTCCAATTTAGGATGGAGGAATTGACGTCCAACCGCCATCGGCGACATTCCGTTGACCACTAGTGTGACCGCGATTTAGATATGTTTTTGTCACGCTTTATGGATGGTATATATACCAGCTACGTTCTGAACTCCTCATAGGCGTCCTCTCTTTTCTTTCCTCCTCTATCACTAGTGCCCGCCGACGACGCAGGCCTCTTTTTTGTTGTCTTTGTTGGATTTCCCATTTGCTACACCCACCATGGACTTCATCGCTACCGCTGCGTTCCCCATCTCAGTTTCTTGGATAACCCACAATATCGCTCTCGCCGCTCTTTCTCTTTCTCTGGTCTACGTCGTCTCTCGCGCTATATACAACCTCTTCCTTTCCCCGCTCAGCTCGATACCCGGTCCTTGGTTTGCCGCCGTCTCTAACTTTTGGATTACAACACACGTCTTGCGCCTCCAACAATGCAAGACAAATCACCGCCTTTTCGAGAAGTATGGCCCTGTCGTTCGAATCGGTCCAAACAAGGTCATCTTCAAAGATCTGACGTCCATGAGAAGCATATACTCAGTCCACAAATTTGACAAGAGCACCTTCTACAAGAGTCTTTTAACGTGCGTTTGCCTTGTATTTGATACGATTTTAACTCATAACCCCATTTAGCAATGAGAATGATCATGCGTGAGTGCACAGTGCAATCTGTTAAACGTGCATATATGCTGATTTTCTGACCAGTATGACAACATTGGACCATGCGGGGCATGTTACTCGACGAAAGGGCTATGCTCCTCACTATATCCCCGCCAATCTCGTTCTTTTTCAGCCTGAGGCGCATGATTATACCCTCGAGCTTGTTTCGGTATGCCCCTAGAAATTAGCATCACATTTCCCTTTTAATGCGCCTATTCCAGGTTCTAGAACATATCGGGGGCAAACATTCTTTGGATTGTCTTGCATTGTTCCGCCATTATATGGTTGACGTTATTATTGCGTCTTCTCATGGTTACCGACAGGGTGCTCTCAGTAAATGGATTGCGGGTGTGGAGGATTCTATGGCCACTGCGATCGCAGATTTCCCAAAGCGAGGCATTATCGTAAGGCGATCGACCTTGCATCAAAATTAGACTGACAGGGGTTGCAGAGAAGCGCGGTGCCCCCTTGGGTGTGGGATTTGATCTGCCGTATTCCCAACAACCGGTGGCGCCAGATGTGCGATTCTGATAAGATTATGGGCGAGGTTGTTCCCTCTCTATGCCTTCAATGCGGACAATGAAGCTGATTCTCGTCTCTTCTCAAGTTCGTTGGTGCTCGCGTGTACGAGATGCGAGCAGAGTTAAATGCAGGAAAACTTGGTGAATCTGAGAAGATTCCAATGTTGCGACGCCTTCTCCAGCACGAGTATTCCCCTGAACAGGCCATGCCCGACCACGACATCATTTCAGAAATGATGGGACATATGTATGCGTTTATCTCTCATTCGACTTCCTATAACGCGAGCTAAATTGATACTCCTAGGATCGCAGGGTCTGATACTACATCAAACTCGTTGTCCTACTTCTTTTGGGAGCTTAGCCGCAGGCAAGATATCATGATGAAGCTTCAGGCCGAACTGGACCAAGCGATGCCTGATCCGCATGTTATTCCTGATATCGCTCTCTTGCAGAAGCTTCCTTACCTGAACGCTTTCGTGAAAGAAGGTAAAGCTGCGCTTCGCTTTAATTTGCATCTGCCTCATTACACATGTCATAGGTCTTCGGCTGTACAGCGCCGTACCAAGTCCTCTTGAACGTGTCGTTCCATCTTCCACATCCAAAAATGGCGCCATTAATGAAGCTTTTGATCTTATGGGTTACGCACTTCCTCCTGGTACCATCGTTGCCACCCAAGGCTGGTCTATGCACCGCGATGCATCCACCTTCCCTTCTCCGAAGACCTTCCTTCCTGAGCGCTGGCTCGAAAGACCTGGGAACGCTGAACATCTTTTCAAGATGGCACAATCCCTCATGCCATTCGGAACCGGCTCGCGCGTCTGCGGAGGCCAGAGTTTGGCGCAGATGATGTTGAGGATCGCGGTGGCCACTGTAGCGAGGAACTTTGATGTTGTGGCTCCTCCTGAGACCAACGAGCGAAGTATGGAAATCAAGGACTCCTTTGTAATTGACTCTCTTTGTGATCACTGTCCGAGGACTTGACTTATGCGCCTTTTTTTGCAGGTTATCTTTCCTGCTTCGATGGAATGCAAACTGAGATTCGTCCCACGAGCTCAGTGAGCTCTCTGGCGATTCATCTATCATCACTACGACCCACCACGAGCGTACACGTCTCATAATTTCTCCCCATTCTCACCTCCTATTCCTACTTTAGTGATTAGAGCTCTTATAATCGGCTAATATTCCTCAACGTGGGCTGGCTACCCTGCGAAACCCTCGTCGAACTTGCTTTCGTTGTAGTAGTGTGGAGATACTCTTGGTTTTCGCGATGCTATGCAATCGTATTACTATGGTATTCTATTCGGCTGGCCCCATGTATGTAGGTCAATACCCACTTTGTGTCTTTAGTTTTGGTATCTGATATGGACCGACGCCCGGATATCATATCTGACTTCGTTCGTGGAATGGTATGATATAAGACGACGGGACCACCGCAGACTCGGATGCATGGACTCATGGATCATAATGCATAACTCGCCGCTGTACATCAAGAGTAGACAATAGTTTTACTCTGCTGCTTCAATATGAGGTGATGAGAGATCATACATTGGCGACTTCCGGGTTTAGTGCCCGACGTCCCGGCCGAATATGAGTGGTCTCTAAACTACCATTCCAGCGCATTCTATCACTGTATCGTCCACCTACAACCGACTGACTCGGAGAGGAGCACGTTAATGGTCGTTCCACTCCCGTATCCAACATCGAGCTACATCACAATCAATCCTCGAGGATTCCTTATGCTGCGGCATCAAGGTGGCACACAAACGGAGGCTTTACGTTCCAAGCGCCAAGCCCATTTTTCAAAACGTCAAGGCCAACGCCAACTTCTCCGCTTACGGACTCATGAATTGATATAATTAAGAGGTGATTTTACTACGCGTTGCAAGGAATGTCTTTCTTTCGTGTCTGAAGCTGTGCTTTTACAGTGTTTCCTGTATTCTCGGGAGAGCCGGAGTCACCTCTACAGCCTAATCGGGTCGTTGAAGTGCCGAGTCTTCTTGAGCGCTCTACTAGTACTGAAGTGCTACATGAGATCCTGGATTTTCTGTTTAATCTCACCACTCGACACGCAAGACAAGGCGGCACAAAGACTCTTTACCGTAATATCAATCTAGGTAGCGTGGTTCTCCTCCATTGGTCTGAAATTCGTTGGCCAGTACTTACGAGAAACAAGCCAAACAGCTCTGAGACGCCTCGAGTTGGTGATCTTTCTCGATGAGTGATACGGAAAAAGATGCAGTACTTTCGGATGAGGCTCCAGTAGACGATGAGGTTGTATCTAAAACCTCGACCAGCGCCTGGAAGAGGTTCCTTGTTATGTCCCGCGACGCGTCTGTTGAGAATGAAACGAAGAGGGCAATGCAGAGCAGACACCTGATGATGATCGGTGAGTGTTTGTTTAAACGACCTTGGTATCGATGGTCAATGATGACATGTGCTAAAAACCTTTTCTGGAATCTGCGCAGCAATCGGAGGGACCATCGGGACGGGTATTTTCTTGAGCGCTGGATCTGTGAGTGTCGCTTTGTTCTCATGTGAGCGCGTCTTTTGTGACTACTTTGATTTTTTCGCCAAGGCTATCGCTTTGGCTGGGCCAGGAAGTGCTCTGCTCTCGTATTTTGTTGTTGGGATGTTTGTGTACAGCGTCGTGATCAGTTTGTATGTTTCTAACATCACATCATTATGTTCGAACTGAATGAAACAAATTGGAGGGGCGAAATGTCTGCCATGTTCCCCGTATCAGGTGCTTTCTCCGTCTTTGGTAGTAGATTCGTCTCTCCCGCGCTAGGATTTACGTTAGGTACTGTACTTCTACCTTGATCTCTCCTCGTGCTGACTGGAGGATTTCTGAGAACAGGGTGGAATTACTGGTTTCAGTGGTATTTCTGCCTCCAATATGAATTCCAGGTTCATTGACCAGTCTGACGTTATTCATCCATTTTTGTTCAGGAGTCTTTCAATACGTGAGCATCGCTTCTGTTCAGTTGAAGAAGTTATTGACTGATTCGTTTGTCATGATGGTCAGCCAGCGAGCTGACTGCTGCTGCGATCATCCTACAGGTAAGTTGGTTTATTATTTTGTTATCGTGTCCCCGATACACCGAGAAAATTGCTGATAGGACGTTTAATCAGTTTTGGGCGCCGCAAGTCCAGGCCTGGGAATGGGCGCTCGTCATTATCGTCCCTGTTTTCTTACTTCAACTGATTCACGTTCGAGTTTACGGTGCGTAATTGTTGAGTATGTGTGCTAGGTATCCTGACGCTGGTCTGCAACAGGAGAGTCTGAGTACTGGTTTGCTCTTGTCAAGGTCCTTATGATTATAGTTTTCATCTTTGTCGGACTCATCTACGACTGGGGCGGAGTAAAAGGTCATCCTGGACCGGTAAGCACAGCGTTCGTCAGCAGTACCCTCTTCCTACCTATACTTGAAGGGTTTATCAAATTTTCGCAACGGCCAAGCTTTCATCGGTGGCTTTCAAATTTTCGCCCAGACTTTCGTCTACGCCTTTTATTCTTTCGGCGGTGTTGAACTGGTGGCAATTGCCGCGGGAGAGTCCGTTCAACCGCATAAAACTGTCCCTCGAGCTATCAAGGCTACTTTCCTCCGGATAGTCCTTTTCTACATTTTGACCATCCTAACAATTGGACTTTGCATTAACTGGCAAGACCCTACCTTACTCAGCGCAGCAGGCGGTGAGTAATGAATCTGGAGCGGAATTCACTGCTCATCTCTTCGATTTGCTATCAGACTCAGATGTGACAGCCTCTCCACTGACTGTGGTGTTCCAGCGTGCTGGGTTTGGCGCCGCTGCACACGTCGTCAATGCCGTCCTCTTGACCGCAGTTTTATCCGCAACAAATTCGTGTTTCTACGCGAGTTCACGCATGCTTCTCTCATTGGCCAGATCTGGTCAGGCCCCTCGCATCTTTGGCTGGGTAACCAGTCAAGGCGTTCCTGTGCCTGCACTCGTGTGAGTCCGCGCTATCGCTTTATACTCGTAGCATGCAACGCTGACATGTGCGGGTAGCATGGCGCTCGCGGTATCGTCTGTGACATTCCTTACGACAATCTGGGGGGAGGGAATCGTGTTCACTTGGCTTCTAAATCTCACAGGAATATCAGCCTTGCTTGTGTGGGGCTCGATAGGTCTCATCTCTCTGCGTTTTCGTGCGGCCTATCGAGCTCAGGGGCGCTCGTTGTCGGATTTGCCTTATACTCAGCCTTTCTTCCCTTTGTTACCTGCTGGAGTTGTCGTGCTTGCCTTACTGATGTTCATTGCGGAAGGATATTCGTCAGTCAAAGAACAGCCATTTGAAGCCAAGGTATGCGCCACCCTTCGCTGATGAGTCTTCCATCTTACTGTATTCACGCCAGAACGTCGTCGCCACATACATTGGTGTTGCCCTTTACATTATCCTATACCTCGGCTATACTATCTATGAGCGATTTGGACTTGGAATCCGACAGCATTTCGTGCCGTTACTCGAGGTAGACTTACAAACCGATGCTGTTTGGAAACCTGGAGAAGGTGCAATGATCCGAGATCATGATGACAAAGATGAGGAGGGCACTGCTGTCTCGGTAACCCCTGGGTGGCGAACTTGGCTATCTTACGCAGCTAAACATGTTTATTGACTACTCAATGGAGGCTGGGCTTCAGGCAATTCCGTCCGGAACATCATTACTTCTTCCATCCGATGAATGTCAGCCGTTGGCGTGATCGAATGTCATCAGTATGTTACAGGCGCTGCAGTTTCACTTTACAAATCGAAGTCATTCCCAGGCCATGGCCGCCAGAGTCTGGCGTGAAGACCAGCCTCAGCATGGTCCAGGCCGTGGCAGCAACATCTACTGTGGACGACATCTCCCATGTGTGGCGATGGGTCTGAAAGCGCCACCATTGATGCTGTCCACGCCAGGCTTCCACAAAACAGAGGTATAATAGACGAACACTCTCGATGGATTTCTCCACCTCATTTTGCACTGTTCTACCCGTCTTCACAAGTCCAATGTGTAAAACCTCATTATCCATCACCTTTTGTGCCAATTGCAAGACTACAGTCTCAAGGGATAAATATGTTGACATCAAATGCGTATGGCAGAACAAAGTCGAGAGAGCTCAACGAAAGGGCTCGACCGAGAATGTCGAGGAATGGAAGGCTCAGTGCAAGGCACATGAAATGGAAGTGAGCGGCCCTCGTATCCGTTTGTGTGGCTGTAAATACTGTTGATGTAAGGGGATTTCAGTTTAACTGGTTAGCCTCGCACTCATAACTACTTCACAGATACGGCGTGACGCAGCACTCGTGACGGAGACAGGTGTATATGGGTGGCGGTGGTACAATTGGTGTTTGAAATTCATATTGTAAACTCAATTAAAAATACATGCTGGTCATGGGCTGACCTCCGAGTCGGCCAAGTTGGCGATGGCCATTGTACTTCAGATGAGAATGGTCCACATGGTAGTATGTATGGTGCACTCCGGCAGCGAGCCACAGATGAATAAGCACAATGCGCCGTGCCAGTGTGGACGGTCCATTGGTCAATGCACATTTTCTGTTCCACCGCAGGCCAGTGGAACTTGTGGCATGGACGCCTGCTCTAGGTATAAATACAACTCGACCATCATGCTAGCACAAACATAACTTAAAAAACGCACTCACCCCTCAGTGCTCACCCAAACACACCACCATCCTTGTCATGTGCGAAATTACAGAGGTCCAATACGTCTATGTTTGCCCATGCAAGCGCATGGCTGGGCCAGTTAGATCTCAGGTCGACAAATGTCAGGAGAGGATACACGCAGAGCGAGTCTGGAAGCACTGGTATGCTGCTGGGCGGCGTGGCAGGGAACCAGCACTAGAATGCACGAGCATGACTGTGCAAAAAACTCTGCCATATGATAGACCTTGTCGGGATTGTTTCGAACGCTTTTTCCGAAGGTAGATGTCATCGAATCCGTCAAATCTTACTATTGATACTGATCTTTCCTCCCCAGATGAGCATGTTGTTTAGAATGTGGCCCAAGCCCATTTAATTATCATTTATCATGTTCATCACTCATTCTACCTCAGAAATAAATTCATGAGCTGTATGTAGTACTAGAGCAGGGCTCAAGGCGGGACTTACAGATACTTGAATATATATGATCTTTTCATGGAGTTTCGTGGAGCACCATTGCGAGCGTGCCCATCATCCTAAGGTATGCAGACGCCGACGCTGAAACACCTTTTCCAACAACCCCGACAAAGTTTGCCAGTTTCCCTTTCTCAAATCCGAACTGATAGTCCGACAGATACTTGGCAAGAGTCGTGTCCTTGATTCCCGTCAGCTTACTCAGTTCGTTGCGGAACTTGAGCGAGCCAGGTTCGTACTTCTTTCCTTTGACAAGGGCCAAGTATAGTCCTACGAACGTTTGGGCGCGCCCGTTGGCAATGAGGAGCTCCGGATAAGTGAAGTACCGATACAATTTGCCGACGAAGACAATTCGTGGGTGTGTGGGGTTGGCTTTAGTTTCCGGGTTAGAAAGATCGAGTCCAATGCGTGGAGAACGGAACACGGGCGAGGTCGCAAGGCTCGACGCAGGTCGCTTGCGTAAGTACATATAAACGCTCCTCGGTTGGCTTGGGGCTGAGAGAGCAGCGATGTCCCCTTGCCATTTAACAGACACAAGCTCGCTGATGTTCGAAGCACTGCATACGCGCAAAATCTCATCGACGAGGAGTGAGGGCCCTGAGATGACCTTTTGGTCGTGAAATCGACGTATGGTGCGCAGAAGAGCACCACCTCGCAATATTCCTGATGAGATGTGAGGTTCCGCACTAGAATGTGCTTGCGCGCACACGGGGCCACCAAGTGTCAAATCAAGGCCTTTACGTGTACCACCCCGATAACCTCCTGCTACAGTGGCCGCAAGGTTGGCTTGCGATGAGTTTGAGCGTTTCGGTACACGATGAAAATACCTGTGAGAGCCAATTTGAACTATTTCTTATACGACAACTCAAGAGTAAATTCTCACCACTGTCCGCTGCGCTCTTGCTCCGCACTTCCATGAGTGAATGGGTCCTCATGACAGCCTGACTTCTGAAGGTAAAATTCTAGTTCGAGGATTTCATAGTCCGTCTGAGAGCTGCCATCGATGACTGAAAGATAGTATTCGGACAATAAAGCGCTTGATATCGCGTCAAAACGAGCGGATATGTCATCCTGAGAGCATAAAGAAGTTAGGTCTAGCAAAGAGTTGATAGTATCTCCGTGGGCGTTGGGCAGTGCTGGACATGAAGCGTTTGAACGAGGATCTACAAGATCGCTTTCAGTATCTTCTTCGACAGCACTGCCAATTGCAACGGAAGCTGAAGGTCGATCATTCTGCCTTGTAATTTTTTTCCGGTGAGTTGGTATCTGCTCTAAAAATAATTGAAATGATGTGAGGACTGGTGACAGCGCATGTTAAAATTTTGTGCTGACCGTCATCAGGACCTTGGTCCTTCCTCGTTCGCTTCAAGCCGCCATTCACCATCAATACCGTTTTCTCTGGCAGAAACCCGCCGATGAGGCCTCCCACTGCAGGTCAGTGAAATCAAGTCTTCAAGGGCAAGTACGTACTCACAAAGCACCAGCTAGGACTGTCAACGTTGTGGTTGAAGGACGCGCAACTTGAAATTGCATGGACAACAGTGACTCGGATGTATGTAGTATGTATGTAATTGTAAATTGTAAATTTCAAATTCATCCCATTGCGCAAGCTTAGCTCAAGTTCGGCCCACTAGTGTAGTACGGAACTTTCACCCCTTTTGTTAGATTCAAAGGGAATATTGTCCTACTTCGTGGTCTCTCTCTCCCACTTGTTACATTCGTTGTCCGGACACCATTACTCTTTGCAATTTGGCTCCACGGACATGCCTACGCCAAAATTCTCTGCCTCACCAATATTCTGACTCATTCAATACCAACACATATAATGCGGCCACGACCAGCCGGAGCTCATCACCGATCTTGCTTGAATCTGTTTGAACAAGCCTTGATACCTGGAGACCTCAGCATAAGCCTTCCTTCCCATTCTGCGTCGAACACATCAAGCACCGTTCCGAGGTGAGCGCTTGAGCATCGCTGTGCGTCGAGACATGCACTTAATACCTCTCCCCACTTGGCAGCTCATTCCTTTCCGTCAGGACCCCCCAATAACCAGGACAGCTTTCCCAAGTGCGGCAAGATCGCCGAGAGTGCAACAGCGACTTGCAGAGGTTGTTCGATCAGAGAAAATCCGACATTAAAACTGGTGATATTTGTATTGGAAACCTGCCTATTGGTTTCTCAGCCATAAGTGGATCTACCTTTGTAGCGTCAAATACCAAACCAAAGTTTCTGAGATCAGTGCAGGTTGATAGTAAGGTCACAAGACCCCGAAAGTGATTTTGGTTGGTGTCGGCCAGAAATGTTTGCTCCCTAGATGAAGGTACTTGAGGCGTGGCCAATGGAACCAAGGGCGTCATCATCAAGCAATGAAATACAACATGTCGAATTAACAACCTCTTTCAAACGGAGAAATGTATGAGAGGAGTGAAAATGTGGAGGATAGATGCGTTGTCGATGTCATTGACACGCGTGAATATGTCTAGTAGGAAACACTCCAGAACATTGCAAAGTAGATGGTCGTCCAACATGCGTAAACCATGTGCAATGGCAGCCGCGGATTCAGCACCGGTAAAAATGAGCTGCAGCTGCCTGCATAGATCAACCTACCCCGCTACCAAACTGGCGCTCAAAGTGATATTGAACGACCGGATGACCAATTTGAGGTACGAAATTGCGATCTGGTGGAGGGGAGAAGTCCAGTGAAGTCGATACGCGATTATTGAAGTCCGATAACCAGGAAAAGTGTTGCTTTCTGCAGATGCGTGAGCCCACAGAGGGCCAGCTGGATGACTTAAGGAAACATTCTTACATTGCGTAGTCCGAGAAATGAGACTTCGACGACTTCTAATCGGGGTGAATGCCTGCCAAGACCTGATGGCACCGAAGACATGATCTTCATCCAAAAATCTTCTGTCGGCGACAACAGATACGGATGGATGAGGAGGACTCAAGAGGTAACGCATACATAAATGGAGATCGTGGGGATATCCTCTGCAGCAGACAGCAAAGTACCCGAAGGTTGGGCACCAGCAACGACTGCGAACAAGGGCCTATGATGGCGAAGACGAATTTCGCATCTTCAAAAAGATTAAACCTCTTGTTTTCGAGATCTCGCACCCAGGATGTATATCGCTCGAAGATGTACCAATCTGCACTGGTTACAGGCCTCCGAATGACCTGACATTGATATGATGAAGATAATTAGCACGAAGTGTGAAGTACATACAAACTTCCGTTCAGGAGTCCTAATCCATAGATCATGTGGCAAACAAGTGAGGAGCGGTTCCACTTATTCAACTCGGCCTATAGCACATCCAAAGGAATGGCAGACACGAGAGAGCAGCTAGAGAACGTCGCGAGACGGGCTGACTCTGAATATAATCAGAGTCACTGAGTGTGGGTCACACTTTGTCGACATTCAGACATCCAGAGTCAAAATCATCCCCATCTATGCCACTGGAACAATAGATGTCAGAGAAAATATGTTCTATAATCTTTGGAATGAGCATGCATACCGTGACATAGTGATTTATTTCATAGCGGTGTAGCTTGGAGGAGCGTGGTCAAGGTGTACAGCATGCTGCTTACTAATCCCCTTGAACTTTTGTACGTCCTGGTGAACCATCTTTCGAACTATGTACAACAGCTTATACTTGTCACAATATAGCCCATAGGGCACCACGTCTTAACAGTTTCCTTCGTTCGCTGCACATATATAAATACAGAAATTCTCTCTCTCTCAACATCTTTCAATGCTATTTACTTCTGACCCACCAGAAACTTATCCACCCCACTGTGGTTGGCAACCTCGTCTAAAGATGGGGCTATGCGAGTACTTATTGTCAGAGGCCACACCGTGATACACTTGAGGGTCAGACTTTCAGCGTAAACGTTGTCAAATTGGGTGGCCTTGGTTTGAATGAGCATTATGAAGCCAGGAGTACACTGTACACGGCTAGTAGTGACTGCTGTGACTTTCAGAGTATGGAATGCATGAGGGTAGGCGTATTCTTCCATCTTCACCATGCAACTTTTTTCATCCAAGGACAGCAGCTTCATAGTCTGAAAGATCATGCTGATTAAGTCACTACTGGACCAGATCACACCAGAAAGTGTCCATTGTTGGATGAGTAAGGTAAGCCTTCAACTGCGCGAGTTCACTTCCGTTAGATTCTTAACTAATACAACCATCAGCCCGAGCACTTGCCCTCAAACAATACACTGTGCTGGTGCTACAAATGGCAGAGAGCTACTGATATCAGGCTCAGACGATTTCCTTCGGTTTCTATTTACATCGTCAATGCAGAACTACGAGGGAGAAATATTGAGCCCTTGGCCTGTCTGACTCGCTTTCTCACCTGATGATCGGCGGTGGTGAGTGGGATAGCGCAATGCAACTGTGGGATTGCTTGGGCACGTTGGATGACTATCATGTGTCTGAAGGCAATTAATTTATCGCTATCTCACAGGCGCTGTGGAAGTTTGTGGCACACTGCATGGACATGTTGACCCTATCTACAGACTTGCATGGAGTGCAGATTTGCGAATGCTGGCAAGCTGTCATATACCATATATCCGGTTACAGATCCGATGATCTGGATCTCAGATCCGATCCAGATCCGATGAACATATCCGTCGTCCGGTCCACAGATCCGCTTTGATTCTTATTTCATTTCCTGTTCATATAACTCTAACTATCGTTCATCTCCTTTCGGTATTCCTGTACACCGGTATACCGGTTATCCTTTACTTCCGCTATGCTTACTGATCCGCTACACTTACGAATCCGCTTTTACTTGTACTTCATTCCCGGTTCATGATTCGTGATCCATCCAACTTACCAATACGCTCCACTTAGACTTTGCTTATTGATCATTCCGTTAGCTATCCGTAGTATATAAACCTTTGTATATGCGCTGTAGTAGATCAGTTTGAATATCATCTTAGATTGCACTCATTCCGTCTGGACTCTGAGTCCCTCCGTTATCCATCCGGACTTGAGTACGCTACTCTTGTCAACTCCGAGACTTAGGATAGATTCCTATAGTCTACATATCCGCCTCTGTCTTCGGACAGTCCTCACCCGTTAGTTTCTAGTCCGGATCCGATCCGGATTGGCCGTTACTCTATACACGCGATACTTTAGCTCTCTGAAATAAGGGGCAAGACTCGGGAAAGGGGCACAGCGCACGAGCTGAGGCCGAAGCCCTTCGGATCCGATACTACTTGAGTACGGTCTTAACACAAGCACCAGCAAGGATGTGAGTGTCAAAGTAAGTACACGTACACTAGATATGCATTTTAATGAACATACTGTTACATCAGATTTAGGACAAAACGCACAAAATTAAGTATCCCCTTCCTGGTCACACGAACGAACTGTGTAGATCTTGTTGGCGGAGTTACGAGTGGAGGCTGTGAAGATGAGTTGTCACACCGTTTTCATGTATTTTGGTGCTTATGTTGCTTTACAAATTGAAGAATGAGTTACCACACTGTAATTTCAGGAGGGTTGTCCTCACTTCTGAGTACGTTGAACCGATTGGCTAGTCCTATCAGTGTAATGTCGCTCTGATGCGCGTTAAAATTACCTCAGCAAGGGAACTTACACAAATACGTATCTGCGAGGACTGGGGTCGACCCCTGCATTTGCGCGCATTCAAGGGTCCAAGAGCAACTTGCCAGGACTCGCTACTTATTAGACAAATACGCTGTGTTGATCTCAAGATAAATTACGTACTTTGAACAGTTTCTTAGCGCCCAGGGTCAAACTATTGCACAATGGCCAGAATTGTTTCGCTGATAGATCATCGAGTCATAATCCAGTGTGTATTTGCCAGTACTGGTACACTACTTCATTTCGAATGGTCCTAATTTGAAACGCGGATTTCTCTTCATACCAAAACTAAAGCCCTAAACACCATTCCTCTTCACTTTTGGTGCCACAAACATGCCGGCACCATAATACCTTGCCTCGCCACTGATCACTGCCTCATTACCAAAATGATCCAAATAATTGGGCAATGAAAGCTGTAGAATCGCAGAGGCCCTTGGAAGATGAAATGAAGCGTTCATGAAAACTCCGCCTCGCTCTCTGTTAGCATGAGAAGGCTCCTCTTCATTCCTCTCAGACGGTTTTTACTAGTGTGCAAAGAACTGCTCCTAATATCCCCAAACATTTCTATCTTCAATAGCGCGGATAAGAACAGGATGGAGGGCAACATTGAAATGGTTCTTGAGAGCATCAAAAAGCGCCAAGTCAGTCCCCTTGAGGTATTCCTTCTTAATGCTTGCCTTGCGGTAGAGGTGAGTAAGCGGGAAAGCGACGACAAAGGTGCCTTTTTTGTGCAACTCTCTTATTTTATCAACGACAGCCTGCACCAACTTCTGGTCCAAGTTGGGATAAATGTTGATGTGGGATACAGCAATGTGCTGGTGACGATGAACAGCCCTTTTCAAGGGAATGTAACTAGGCGAGTGCATCCCATCTGCTGCAGGCGATTGCTCGACGACTTTGACGTCATACTGGAGCACCAGTCGTGTGCCCTTGGTCACGGGCATGACTTTGTGCTCCGTGTCTGTGGAGAATGCAACCACAACTGGCCGGATCTCGTCGCCAGACTTTTTTGGATGAATGTTGACAATTGTCTCAATGCCTTGATGCCTCAACATAAGCTCTCCTCCTTCCCATTTCGTGTTAAGTGCGATGAGCACCATGCCATGATGAGCGTCGCTATGTGTCGAGTCACGATGCCAGTCAAAATGACCTCCTTCGCCATATACGGCGAGCTTGTATAGCTTGAGAGAAACAATTTTCCCTATGAACATGCTTGTTTGGAGTTCATCCTGGACGTGGCGCACGAATTTTTCATATTTGAATTTCATATCCTCTTGCAAACTGAAGGTGAGCTCATCCGCTTTGAATTCTGTTCCGTGCCTGTAAGTTGGATCCATGACGGTTTCCTCTCCCCTGCTGAATGGTGAAGGGGTTGCGTGCCTTTGCAACACCTCAACGACAGGTTTCATCCATGTCCCCGCATCCTCTCCCTTGACGAGCAGCTTAAATGTGCCCGTTTGTACCTGACTCCTGAAGGACACAAACGGACTGCCAGCGAGGTTGTTGAGTGCACGTGCGAGCTTTGTGTCTCTGTGCACTAAATATGCTGTGGAGCTGGACAAAGAATCGAGATGTACCCCTATGTGCTTGAAGATGGAGAGCTCGTGCTCTGGCTCTGAGTTTGAGGAAACTAATGTGGAGTCTGGGCTCAAAGAAAGTGATGAGTTTGAGCTCGCAAAAATTGATGAGGTGTCTGAGACCGACATTTTGGAAGAGGCTTCTATGGGTGAGTGGCGAAGGTTGAAATTGGACGCCCCTGTTCACCCCTAGGCCTGATGCATTACATAAATCGACTATCAACCCTTGATTTAAGGGAGAGCGAGAGAAGCAACTTCTCCGAGTCTGTCCTCTGGAACTCGCCAAGGGACTGCACTGGCATCAGTAAATTCACACATTCCTTAACATCCTTAATCAGCTTATCTCACTTATTTCAAAACTTGTTTTCTCTCTCTCGCATCATTCACCTGGCATATCTTGTATTTTTTTAATGTGAAACATAATAAAACATGTCCATTAATACATCTCAACATTTTTTTCTTAATACATTCAAGTTGAAATTTCGGACAAGTAGATCCACTTTCAACAAGGTGGTTAAGTGTGAATAAGTCTGTTTAAGGGCAAAATAAGGAATGTGTGAATTTCCTGATGCTGGTGCCAGTTGTCATCTATGTAGTATGGTGGAATATTTTAATTTTTTTTTTGTTGTCGACATCGTGGCTGACGTGAATATTGTGCAAGCCACGTCATCGAAGAGCCGCTCGCGGGCAGATACTGGACTCACTAGTATTAAGTCTAATATATATGTCACAACTTTTCAGCTGACCCTCTCCACATTAGCGACATGCTGATAGTTTAATTTTTAGCGGCATTGAGGGCACTGGACCCCGCTTCTTGTTAATCACGGTGAATATGTCAGCTGAGGGTCTGGAACCTGTACATGGGAGTGATTCACCCAAATTCACGTACAATTGCTCAAATTAGCGTTAATTTTAAATTGACAGCCTTGTAAATCTACCGGAATTTACACTGGTGAATCTGAGGGCCTCTGGGCACATCGTGAATTTACCCTGTGAATGTCGGAACATTCGAAATTTGCCGTACACTAGTGGTGGTACAGAGTCAAGGCCCCCCATCCCAGATATTCTGAGATCGAGATGTCCTCATCTTCTCAAACTTGAAATCAGGATGCTGATATTGCCATTTTTTACTCTGAAATTGTACTCTGAAACTGTGCTCTGATATCATGCTCTGAATTCATGCTCTGAAATTCACATAATAATCCAATACGTATTTATCCTACTGCCAGTACTAGTACACCATAGCGGGAATTTTGAATGGTCCTAATTTGAAACGCGGATTTCTCTTCATACCGAAACTAGAGCCTCTGAACACCATTACTCCTCGCTTTTTGGTTCCACAAACATGCCGGCGCCATAATACCTTGCCTCGCCACTGGTCTCTGCATCGTTACCATGGTACACCCTGTTTGGCAATGAAAGCTGTAGAATTGCAGAGGCCCGTGGAAGATAAAACGAAGCGTTTGTGAAAACTCCACCTCGCTTTCTATTAGCATGAGAAGGATCCCCTTCATTCCCCTCAGATGGTTTATATTTGTGTTCAAAGAACTGCTCCTGAGAGTCACACTCATTGCCATCTTCAACAGCGCGGATAAGAATAGGATGGAGGACAACGTTGAAATGGTTCTCGAGAGCATCGAAAAGTGCCGAGTCAGTTCCCTTGAGGTATTCCTTCTTAATGCTTGCCTTGCGGTAGAGGTGAGTAAGCGGGGAAAGCGACGACAGTGGTGCCTTCTTTGTGCAATTCACTGATTTCATCAACGACAGCTTTCACCAACTTCTGGTCCAAGTTGGGATGAGTGTTGATGTGGGATGCAATGTGCTGGTGATGATGAACAGCCTTTTTCAAGGGAATGTAACTAGGCAAGTTCACCCCATCTTCAGGCGGTTTCTCGATGACTTTGACGTCATACTGGAGTACCAGTCGTGTGCCCTTGGTCATGGGCATGACTTTGTGCTCTATGTCGGTGTAGAATGCAACCACAACTGGACGGATCTCGTCATCAAACTTTTTTGGATGCATGTCGACAATTGTCTCAATGCCTTGATGCCTCAACATAAGCTCTCCTCCTTCCCATTCCGTGTTAAGTGCGATTAGCACCGTTGGACTAGGGCAGATGCAGAAGAAAGCAGACTCTATGAGGATAGGTGTTGCGATGATGCTCTACAAACAGAGCTGACTGCGTAAGTCAGTGGCTGACTAAGCTAAGGAAATCGTCGAAGGGCTGCCTCTGGGCTATGCGTCTACTATCGCTTGAGAGACTGCCTCTTAGTCTATGCCTTGGGACCCCTGGTCCATGCGCTCCCCTAAAAAACGACAGGCGCCGCCCTCGACACCTTCTTCATCACTCTTCATCCTCTCTATCTTCTTCTTCATCTTCCTCTTCGCTTTCATCTTCCTCTTCGCTTTCATCTTCCTCTTCGCTTTCATCTTCCTCTTCGCTTTCATCTTCCTCTTCGCTTTCATCTTCCTCTTCGCTTTCATCTTCCTCTTCGCTCCGCTCTTCCGTTTCTTTCTCTGTCTCTTTGTTCTGTCTTCGACTCTCTTCCGTTGTGCTTTCTGTATCTCCGTTGTCTTCTCTCTCCTTGATCTTGCGCTCATACTCTTTCTGTTCTTTCCCTAGTTGTGTTCCCTCTCTTGGAGTGAACGCTCTTAGCCATCTTGCGCTGAACTCTCCCTTGAGTGGGATTCCTTTGAGCGTTTTGAGCTTGTATGAATTGACAATTTTCATTTTTATGCGACGCAGGACCGACCACTTCGGTACGAGCTTTCGTTCCGCTTTGAACGTATAATCTAAATCGCTGCGATAAACCTGAACTAGTTGACCAGACTTGAATATAACCTCACCCGGTGCTCTCTGTAACAGCCTTTTATCGAACGCTGATTTTCTCTTGATTGCATGTCTCACTACTTTGTCGTAACCGTCTAATCATTGTTGCTTGACGTATGTGACTTGCATTAGCATGTCCGAGGTGCGTATTGCTGATGTGCTCTCTTCTATGCTTGTCTTTGGCGTGTTGACTACTAAACCTAAAAGGAGTTCCTTGGGGGAAAATTTTAGCGCTGGTAGCAATCGATAATTGAGAGTGTGGACTGCATCATCTAGATGGTCTGACCACAACTTAGGCAGTGTGTCCCATGATGTTTCTTGATCTTCTCCTATGTTTGGTGCGCATAGTCGTTTCAGTACATGAAGTAGGAGCTTATTCGTCCCTTCTACTAGGCCGTTGATCCATGGAGAGTATGCCGCGACGGTGTGTAGCTTGCATCTTCTTGCTTCGCAGAATGTTCTCACTGCTTCGTTCTTGAAGTGTTTGCCTCCATCTGCCATAAACGTTTCTGGCGGCGTGAATGCGTTGAATATACTGCTAAGGTTCTCGATTGTCGTCTTTGCACTGCCTGATACTTTGAACTTGAATACCCAGACATGTTGCGAGAATGTGTCTAGGTAAACGCCGAGCATGTTGTATCCGTTCTTTCCCTTCGGGAGTGTTAGATAATCTCTGACTAACAATTCAAATGGATGTCGCCTGGTTATTGGTTCAAGGAGTGAGTGTATGTGTGTAGGACCGAAATTTTTACACTTAGCACAATCTCTGATAGCGTCTAGAATTGACGCGTCTAGCTTGGGGCTGCATATTCGGTCTAGCAGGGCGATCTTGATTGCGTCTCGCCCCCAGTGACCTCCTTCTGCATGTTCCTGCGCTGCTAATATTTTAGCTTCTTCTCTTGTGACGCACTCTACCTTTGCTCTTGCTCTCGTCGATGTGCCTCCTTGCAGTTTCCAGAGTTTCTCATCCTCGATGATGTATTGTTCTGCTCTGTGGCGTGCTCAGCGCTTCTCTCTAATGTCTGTGGCCTGGTTTAGGTTGTAGATGGCCTCTATGACCTCCTTGAACACCAGTTTGTTCGCGGATCTTGTGCAAAGTGCGTCTATTGCTGCGCTTACCGTCATGATGTTCATGATGTCATTGATTAGACCCGTTCTTGCTTCCCAGTCTTCACTTACCGTCCACTCACTTCCATCTCCTGGTTCTGGTGGCGTGTTTTCCCACTTTCGACTAATACTGTCAGCTACGACATTCAACTTTCCGGGTACGTGCCTTATATCCACTATGTGGTATGCTAATATTCCTTCTCTCCATCTTGCATGCGCTACGTTCAGGTGCGGGTTGAGTAGTGTACTTTTCATCGCGCTGCAATCCGTCTCGATTTCTACTGGGAAACCCCATATGATGCTCGAGAATTTGTCCAGTCCAAACTTGAGTGCCGCGAACTCTAGCAGGTATGATTTGTACTTTTTTTCCGTTGCTGATGTTCTTTTTGATGCAAAACCTAGTGGATGTAAGCGCTCTATCCATCTTCCTGTGGTTGTTTGCATCTTGACTCTTTGCGATAGGACTGTGGCGAAACCTTCAATACATCTGTCGGACGTTACTACAAAGTGCGACCCATCGTATCTTGGCGCTTGGAGTACCGGTCTTGACGTGATTGCTGTTTTTAGATCTAGGAATGATTTAGTATGTTCTTGTGTCCATATGGTACTCAGCTTGAAATTGCTCATGATTCGTCTATATGCTGCTTTTGACATAGTACTGTCCACCAGTACTTTGAGTAACAGGTTTCGCAATGGGCCTTCTCGTTTCGCGTACGCGTTGATCAGCGTATGGTAAAATCCTGTGAGACCCAGAAATGATGCTAAATTTTGTGCATCTTGTGGTTGTCACCAGTCTACAATCACTGTTAGCTTCGTTAAGTCTGGTTTGACCCCGTCTCGTCCTATTGTTCCTCCCGCGAATTCCGTCTCTGACATACACAGCTTCGTCTTGCTAGGTGCTATTGAAAATTTGCATTCTCGGAAGCGCTGAAATAAAACCGTTAGTTTTTCTATCATCTTTTGAAATGTGCTCACTGCGCATCCTCCGTCATCCATAAACAACTCCATATAGTGCATTATTAAAAAATCGTGTAGTCACTCTGCTAATGCATCACAGAACGCTGTTGGCACTCCTGTGATCCCCATTGGCATTCTTCGATACCAGAAGTACATATCCCCGTCCTTCAATGTAGAATGCTAGGTATGGGCGCCACTTTTCCGGTACTTCTATTGCGTAGTATCCTGCTGCAAAATCGAAGATCAAAATGTAACGCTGACCACTTAACCTCTGCTGTTTTGATAGTATGTCGCCTTGCGGCATCAATACAACCTCTGTTACCTTGTTGAGTTGCGCAAAATTTTGACAAATCCTCCATTTCTTCGGGCCCTGTTCTGTTGCTTCGCTGACTATTGGTATAGGTACTTCTCTGGGTGGTAGTTCATACGCTGGACATAACCCTGCTGCTCGGTGTTGGTCATTGATTCGTTGTTTCAACTCGTCCCATGGTAGGCCACCCGTTTCATGTGCTCTTTGTGCTATGACTGTCGTCGCGGTGCATCAAATCAACTCCAGTGGTGCTCGTTCGATGATTCCTGCTGCTAACATGTCGTTTGCTCGCTCATTGTAGAACTTCGATTGTTCTGGCATTAATGGGCGTTGGTGCATCCGTAAGTTGAATATTGCGTTCTCTGGGACATTTAAATTTAGTAACGCCCCTGGGATTGGAATTACCTCCTTCAGTGCTAACGCGAAGCAGTCTGTGTTCTTCGTTATGAATCTTTCCAGCTCTTCCCTTTCTTCTACTGATAAATCGTCCCCAAACTTGATTTGCCGTAAAACTTCTTTGACTCTCGCTGGGTTGAAAGGGTCCGTCTGACGTGTGTATATCGATGGGTCATTCATTGCTGGTTCTAATTCCAGGATCTCTCCTAGCAGTTGTTCTTCCTCATTCTCTGATGCCTCTTGTGTGATTAACACGTTGACATTTGTCGCTCGCTCTGTCAAAACACTTGTGTCAATGTGTGTTTGCTGTAGCGGCGATAGGGCTCTTGTGACTTCCCTCGAGGGGAGTTTCTCACTCCCCACTTTGTTCTCTTGCGTTCTGATTGTCTCCTCTCATCTGACATATTGCTTCGTAGGCCTCCACTGACCCATGGGGATTTCTGATGGTTTTGTGTTGTTTTCTGATGCTCGTTCGTTTTTTTTGTTTGGCTATTGTTCGTTGTTGTTTTTCATCTAGCGTTAGATTAACTTCGCTTTCTCTTTGTGGCATCCGTTGGTCCACTATTTGGTTGCTTAGCAAAGCCGTCTGTGTTTTGTCTGCTATTGTGATGGTGTCTGGCGTGTATTCGTGGACTGCTGTGAATGCTTGAAGCATTGGCTTTCCAAATAGGAAGCCCCAGCTTCCCCTGCTGTCAAAGACTTCAAACGTGCTCTGTGCTTTAACGCCCTTGATTCGGACTGTTCCTGTCCACCTAGCGACTGCTTTGATGATAGTTCCGTTCGCCATTCTTAGTCGTCTGTCTGATCTGCTCCATTCATGAAGTCTATGTTTGACCTTCTCGAAGATCAATGTGCACATTGCGCTAACCATGGCACCGTTGTCAAACAATGCTCTAACTCTGACTAACTCTCCTTGGGGACCTTCTAGCTCTATCCGGTGAATAAACAGGATCGCTTCGCCCTTCTCTAACTGCGTTCTTGTGATGTGTGGATGTCCAACCAAATATAGATCAATGATCTCGATTTCATTGTGAGATTCGGTGGTACATGTGGGGTTCCTAGCTACACATTCAGCAGAGACTTTGGGGCTAATGGTCCTGTTTTTGTCCTCGCACGTTGCCTCTTCGCATGCGAGGACCTTGGCTCCAGCTTGGGTACTTTCGATGTTCCGGGCCGACGTATCACTCTGTTCTACGTCGACCCGTCCACTTTTCCCTGCTGTTCCGGGATTTCTTCGATCCAGGCTTGTGTCTCCTCATACTCGCTGTTCATAACAAGCAAGATTGGTGTTGCTGTTGCTCTGTTGTATGCGCCTAGCACCTTGCTCGTGATCGCTCTCCACGCTGATTCTCTGCGTGTTAAACGTTCTGCGTGGTCCGATGGTAACGGGCAGTTTCATCCATTATGCCCATGGGTTCCACAAGCAAAGCATTCACTGGATGCAATAGCCGCTGTACCTGGTTTCAACGGGTATCCCGTTTCTTGCGTGACTCATGCACCTTCTCCCCATTTCGCATTCCACTGTGCTAATTGTGCTGCGTACGCAGCTTGTCCTGCTGCGTTGTCTGCGTGATGTGGTAGCGCTTGAATCAGCTGCCTGACTAAGGTTTTCGTCTCTTCTGTTATCATGATTGGTTGTTGCGATGCTGTTGGCTGACGGCTATACATGGATTGTGGGGTCTGATTATTGCGTGTTGCTGGTACTCGGGCGTATGTGTTGCTGGTCGTGGATGCTGATGGCGAAGCTGATGAATTGAGTGACATTTTGTTGAATTGGTTCTGAAGCGTCGCGATCGGGTTTTGTGCTGGTGTTCGCATTTGAATTCGAGCTAGATCTGCCTGTAGCGCTTTGAGTTCCTGGGACTGCTTGATAGATTGCTCCTGCTTTTCTACGAGCCTGCTCCCTTTCAACTCCGTCACTGCCTTCGTGAATTCTTCCCACTTTGTGTATTCTTCGTCCTTGAGCAAGTCCTTTACAACGTCTGGCAGTTTGCTTCGTACCTGCCAGATCATGGACATGCTTTGGTCAATACCTGCGTCCGTGGCTAGCTGTAAGGTCTTTGCGGCCCATGCTACGTGCATCCAACACTCCCTGTCATATAGCATTGTCTTCTTCCCTACTTCTCCGCTCGCCAAAACGTGTTCTAACAGCTCCTTCTCATATTCTGCTTTCGTTTTTTCTGCTATTGTAACCAGCGGCCAACGCTTCTTGAATGCTGTTACAAACGCCGTCCACATGGCTTTGTCTGTGGAGGCGAGGGCTTTGAACCACTTTTCTGCTTGCACACTAGTTCCAAGGTAATCTCCAAATGCGTCTATTTTATCGTTGCTTTGTACTATCGCTTGTTGGCGCATTGCTCGGTTGAACGATTTCAGAAAGTCGGCCGGGTTTTCTGATGCTCTTCCATCGCCATGGAATATCTGTGGGGTTTCTGTGGGCATGGCTCTCTTGATTTGCGCCAGTGCAAAGAATCTGGCTAAATCGTAATCTGGTGCCGTGGAAATGGATGTGAGTGGTTCCTTCTTTGCATGACGTTGCAATGGTTGAAGTCTGAGTGATGGTAGCTGGAAATCTAGCTCTGGGACTTCTAGTTCTGGGAAGGGGACCTGCTCTTCTTCCTCTTCGAGGCTAGTTAGTGATGAACTTCTCGAGCGATTTGGTGTGTTGTGCGAGGATGGCTCTGGTGTGTCAAGTGGGGAGGAAGCAGTCGATGTTTCCGTTGACCAGTCTGACCAATTCGTTTTTAAATGTACGTTGGTCACCGCTTGTCCTGCATCAGGAAATTCACACATTCCTTATTTTGCCCTTAAACAGACTTATTCACACTTAACCACCTTGTTGAAAGTGGATCTACTTGTCCGAAATTTCAACTTGAATGTATTAAGAAAAAAAATGTTGAGATGTATTAATGGACATGTTTTATTATGTTTCACATTAAAAAAATACAAGATATGCCAGGTGAATGATGTGAGAGAGAGAAAACAAGTTTTGAAATAAGTGAGATAAGCTGATTAAGGACGTTAAGGAATGTGTGAATTTACTGATGTGTTGTTGTTCTGGGTCTCAAACTATCAGTCACCCTTGGCAGCACTTTTTAGTGCTTCCCACGGTCTGTCAGACCCAGTTTTTGTGTATGGCACAACATGTCTCTGAGACATCCCTCTCCCCGGAGGGTCTCCCTCAATTCCTTAAGAGTAACCAGTGTACCCTCATGGGCCTCATTGGAGGGTTAACTGGTTAGCTCTGATTATTGCAGAAGGTGCCTAACAGCCTCCACTACGTCAGCATGGGTCTCTCGCCCCTCGTCAACATAACTTGGAGCCTCTCAGGTGTGCTCCTCGGACCTCCACATATGTTTTCCCTTATGTTATATCTTCATATTTATGTTGGCAGGGGTCTCTCGCCACTCGTCAACATAACTTGGAGCCTCTTGTGCTCCTCTACTTATGTTTTCCCTTATGTTTTATTTCATATCTTCGTCACTCACATTTATGTTTTTCCCCACCCGCTACTTCTCATATGTTTTTTTTTGCTTTTGTCGTTGTATTTATGTTGTAAATGTCACTTTCCAATAAAACATATCACGCTCCAGTTTCGCAGCGATTTCGAACAAGTTCTGAAGCAAACCAAAGCAGGCATTGGAGCCGCTATACTGATATTATCAAGACAAGGAAAAATGTAACGACCGCATGTGTAGCTACATAAATAGGGTACGAAAGCGGGACGAGTGTAGGAATGAGCAAACCACCATAGCAAGTTATCAGCATAAACAGACGAAGTAAGCACAAGAAGAAGAACCAAAGAGCAACCCAACCAATGACAAAAGCACGGGTGCATCAAAAGCCGATTATGATGAAGGAGGAGGTGGAGGGAGAGTGTGATCACAACTAAATGCTCGTGGCACAGCATAGTCCGAAGATGAAGATGCAACACTGTGGACGTTGTCCATCCATCTGGAATCCTGGTTACGAGCCCTGCCTTGAGGGTACCCACTGTCACGGTATGGTCCTCCACCAAATCCCCGACGCTCGTCAAGGTCATTGCGTCGAGCATAGTCCGGACCAGGCACTGGGCTGTATCGGCTTGGGTATGAACGTTCACGCTCACCATGAGCATAAAGGGTGTCGCGGTGTGACTCCAAGGCTGGGGAACCATCCCGTGTGGTGAACTCGCTGTCAATGCGAGGATCAGTAGGTCCATAATAGTTGCGAGGTTGCAGACTAGTGTAGCGGTGATTGTGAGAGTCACGGTGGTACAAGACATCACGAGAGAGGTGAGCATCACGCTCGATCGTAGGAGTCTCTTCACGACGTCGCATGGCATCATGCATGTACCATGGCTCACGAGAATGGGCACGAAGAGGTTGACGAGTGTCACGGAGGGTATCACGTGGGTCGTGATGGGCAGTATCTCGAACATCATAGAGGACCTCATGACGAGGCTCGTGGGGATTGCGAAGAGGACCCCCCTCGTGAAGGTCGTCGCGAGGGTCAGAGATGACCTCCTGATGACGTTCCTGTTGGTGGTGAGGAGGGTTATCCTCACGAAGATGATGACGTACAGGGAGCTTGTGATGAGCTTGGTGTAGGTCATGTGGAGGGTCGTGGGGGTTACGAGAGTCACGAACTGCATCGTGAAGACCCTCAATGGGTTTGGCGATGCGAGGGAGTTCCTGCTGCTTGTCCGCTGGCTTAGCATCGTGTGTTACCTCGGCCAAGCCTTCCTGTAAAGATTCTGCCGTGACATTGATCGAAGTAGGGGAGATGACACTCTCAGCAACCTTCTTGCCCTTGTCGACCTCAGATTCGTCTGACTGGCTGTATGCCATGCGGTGAGCACGCTTCATTTTACCTTTGGAGTCCTTGGTGATTCGGCGTGGTTTGACTGGAGGATAGATGGACATTAGTTATGTAGCAAGAAAATGTGAAATCGCTTACCCTTAGTCCGCTCAATATATGGTTCATCTTTAGGTCGCGCTGGAACCACAGCTATCAGCCTTGAGTCAAATGAAGTCAAGTGAGAAAAAAGTGTGCTCACTTTCAGGCTCTGGTGATCCCGCCACACTCGATGATCCCACTGTCAATGGGGACAACGGGCCACCCTTCGTCGGAGAGGTTGATGGTAAGGGAAGTGCTTTGGGTGGTTTCGTCTGAGCCTGTGACCCTTTCTTCCCTACTTTTGAAGTATCAGTCTTCTCCTCGGATGATGCTTGCCTCTTTGACGCACGAGACGTGTTCGTAGCCTTAGCCTTCAGTTTCCTCTTCTTCCCGCGTGCTTCGTCATACTCGGTATCAGGCTCTTCGACATCCTCGGTCGAAGTAATTGAGATAACCTCGCTCGCTGCTGCAGTTGGTTCCGGCTTTTGAATGATTTTGACTGGGCGTGAGCGTGGTGCTGCCACAACCTTGAATGGGCGCGAGGGCAGGGGCGGTGGTAGTTCTACTCGCATGGTAGGTTTTCGGAGCTTGGGAGCAGCAGGTACTGCTGGGCGATCATCACCCGAGTCGGAGTCGGAGTCGGAGTCGGAGTCGGAGTCGTCATTATCGGAGGGTGGGAGAGGGGCCTGAGGCGCTTTTTCTTTCTTAACCTTTGTAGCTGCACTGCTGGGCTGGAGACGAACTGGGCCATGGTAGTCGGTATCACCATTAGCAAATAGTCGTTGAGCACCCTCATGAGGCCACTAGGGTGGCGGTGCGATGCCTGTAATGACTGGCCTCTCGGAGGCCATCACAGCTGCTACACGTGAGGTTAAAACCCAAAAGTGCATATTAAAAGGTAAACAAAACTCACCTCGGTGTGCCTTGTCAACTTTGAAGACTTGCATGGTTCCTCCCTTCAACGCATCTATCAGCGTTACAATTTCCTTCTGAGTCAGCGCGCCGATGCCCTTGTTCTTCGAGTTTTCATTGTGAGCTTCGCCAGGCAAGAGACACTTATGAGCCGGATAGCCTCTAATACAGAGATTGGCATCAGCAAGGGCGCTTGACATGCCCTTCCAAGGGAAATTTTTATCCCAGGCGCACTTGCCTCCAAGTTGGGCTATTTGTAGTTTAGGTCAAATGAATAAAAGGAGTGTCGACGTTCTAACATACCAACTTGTCTGATAAGTTCGAGCTTGATCCATTTCAAGCCATCATCCCGTCCCTCAGGAGCCTGAGACTGATCACAATTATGGTTCAGGGTTGAATTTGGAGTTGAAGGGTCGTTGCGGGTGCCATCGTTGCGGGTGCCATCATTGAATGCTTCATCCACCGCAGCTAAAGATGTAGTATTACTGTGCGGGCATAAGTCATAGCATAAACAAAATTTAAGTGTACACTCACTACACGTGAGCCTTGAGATGCCCGACGATGGCATCATCGCTTGCGCGACATCGTGTCTCCCAGAACTGTCTCTTTAAGTATACGTCAGGATGTAGAGTACAAAGAGACTTACCCCTGCAGCACCTGGCGTGTTATACGAGTGGCCAAGTGAACCATCTTCATTGACTACTTTCCCGCAGAGCACGATCGCTGCTTCAAAGCCTGACTTCATAGCGGCAGACTCGAGCTGTGATTACAACATGAGGGGATGATGGAACTTCGGGAAAGAAAACGTACAATCTGTATCACCCTTCGATAGTGTTTCTGGAATCCATGTCCACGCTGAGCTATTGTTTGAGGCGATGATCCGAGGAGTGATGCCTCCTCATGCATGAGCAGGATATCTTGGTAAGAGTCAGGATAGGCCTCTTTGAATTTGTCGTAACATTGCGTGCGCACAGTTGCACCTATAAGGGTTATAAACGTCCTGCGCAACAAGATATAAAATAATACTTACTTGGCGTGCCACCTCCAGCCTGGGCTTCTTTGCCAATGCGCGCGAGTTCTATCTGCATATGCTCTTTGAAGTAGTTGGCGTATAGGTTCCAATAGTTAGTGCCATTCACGGTGCGTCCACGACTCTTCAAGAATAGGTTGATCAATTGGGAAGTAGGGAGCGTGGTGGATGTAGCGAGCTCAAGAAAGCAGCGCTCTACTGCAGCAAACCCGACATCAAGTGCTGCATTCACCTCTGCAGACCTGCGTCCAGTGACCGTAAGTCCTTCATCATGGGTCACTGGCTCGTGTTCCTCGGGAAAGCGTGCACGAGAGGTAGAAGGATGGCCTCCTAAGTCCATCTGGGAATTGGAACCGCTCAGCAAAGTACCGATAGTATTTGTTGAGGTGGTGCTATCACCATCCGTGAAAGGCGTCGGTGGAATGACATTGGTGGTTGGGAGGGCAGGCAGGTGATCATGAGACGATGATGACGGAACTGGCTGAAGGACGAATGGTGAGACTTTGCCAGCAAGATCCTCAGTCAATCCAGAATGGGTTTGGCCTGTAGCATGAGGATCTAGCGAGCATCCACGAGAGGTCAAACCCGATGAACTCGCAGGAAAAGTGTAACTTGGCGGAGGTGCTAGGCGGTCCATATCCTGGGGGATGAAGTGATTTTGCGATCCTCCAGATAAATAAGATTCGGACCCCATCATGCTAAAGGTATCCGAAGAGTTGGGATCCATCCAGGCGTGTGGCTGGTTCATGGAACCAAAAAACACATCCTGGAGCTGTTCAGGAGCGTGTGGGGCAGGAAAGGGTGAGGCATGGCGACTACTACCCACATGGAGCATTGACGATGATGTTTCGCTTGTCGAGATAGCAGCCGGCACCGCATGAGGTAAGTTAGGTGCAGGATCTTGCCCTTCCACAGCAAGGCGTTGATAAGCCTGGCGGCGGGTAGATGCACCTTTGACAAGGCCGGCATCCCGCTCTGTAGCCTTGAGCTTACTCCTGAGTCGTGAAGGAGTCAGCTCAACAGGTGGTGATGGGTTACGACGGCCACCACCAAACTGCTCTTGCATGTAATCGAAGGTATCAGGAAGACCCATGTAACTCGGGTGAGGAGATGATGGGTTATCGGGGATGTTTTGCGTCATGTCTACAGTGTGGTCAATATTGGAAGAAATATATGACAGCACGCGTACTTACTCGTACTATGTGCAGTAGATGCCAATTTTTGCAGACCGTCTATTGGGCGGTTTGCGCAAGAGTATATCAGATGGGAAATCAGAAGGGGCAGAAAAAAACCTACAGCGCCTTCATATTTATGAGGCTGATTTGAGCTGATGCAGACTAAACAAGTTAGAATGGTATGCTAGCACGGAATTAAACAAACGTACAAGATATTTGAATAGGCCCATCTGGCAAGGTAACCAAGAGGGTGCGAGCGAGGCTCTCGGGATGCTCGAGAGGCTAATAAGAGGGTTCAGAACGAAAGGAATGAGGATAACGCTGTACATAATGCTAAATGACTCACGTTGAAATGAAATGCTTGAGCTGGCAACCAAAGTGTAATTCTGCGTGTATATGAAGAAGTGAAAGCAGGAGGCTTACCGGAAGATCGTGAGGGAGGCTCAAGGGAGGCTCAAGAGGCTCAAAGAAGCGAATACCGCCAACGATCGATCACGACCCGAGTATCCGCGTGTTCAGAAAAAAAAGTACAATTCCGAAAAGATTGCTTGTATAAACATGTCATCTACGTTATTTGAAATCATTAAGATTCAGTCATACCGTATCTGTTACGCTTGGCAGGCCGATGTTCGCTCTCACTAACATGTAACTCATCATCATATTCAGAAGTCGATGCAGACTGCTCGACAGAAGTGATGGGCGGGATAAGGTTGGTGTGATTAGAAACTGCTCTGGAAGCTGACCGGAGTAGCGGGCGTGATATGGGTGCGAGCAGTGGATGATGGTATTGCCCTAGAAGCTGGCCGGGGTGGTGGGCGTGATATCTCTACAAAAACCTGAGTACGACGAGTAGGGTGTATAGCAGGACGAGCAGCAGGTGCAGGAGGACGAGCAGCAGGTGCATGAGGACGCACAGCAGGTGTGTGAGGACGCGCAGCACGTGCTGGAGGACGAGCAGCAGATGTAGAAAGACGACTAGGAGGTGTAGAGGGACGATTGGAAGGTGTAGAGGGACGAGTGGAAGGTGTAGAAGGGGGAGAGGCAAGACGGCGAGGCCCCCTGAAGTCAATGTCACCATTAGCAAACACACGTCGCGCGCGGGAGTGGTTTTGATCGATATGAGGGCGCCTCTGCGATAATGACTGGGTCCCAGGACATTGTAAGGCGTTTGCGAGCAGTATCATTTGTCATGGCCTGTATAGTGAAGGTGCCCATCTTGAGTGCATTGACAAGATTAACCCGATGAGGAAGGGTCAGATCATGTATGCCTTTGCTCCAAATGAGTGTAGGTCGAATCTTGCCGGGCATCAAAGTATCATCAGGGTAGTTGACGAGGCGACATCCGAGCCGAGCTAGCTCCTTGGGTAGAGTTTTCCAAGGGAAGTCGTTCGAGGTACGCCCACGCAAGGTGCCACCAAACAGATGCTGAAATAAAGTCAGGATTGGTATTAAAAATGGAAGGCAATATGCCTTACCAACAAGGGCCGTTATGCCACCCATGATACAAGGAATGCCATCGAGGCTCTTCCACCCAGCGTCAACTTGGAGACTACTAACTCCTGGGTCCTCCTCTGTCGACACAGCCTTGTCCACAAGCTCAAGCTAGAAGCAATCAGTAATCAGCAGCATCTGAATATTAAACTGACTAAGGACTACGAGGTGACTGATGGTACAGAAGTGCGTGTCTGTTTGCGTGCCAACATCAACAAAGTGTGAGGATTGAGATATGATTGCAGTCATTCTGCAGCAGGATACAGACAAGGTACGATAGTTGAGACTGTTAATCGATAAGAAGAAGCCATGGAAATTTTCGGAATAATACAGTAGCTTCGAAGTTCAAGGGTACTAGCGCCGAAAAGCAGGCTGGAGGGTTATTATGTAAGCTGAAGTCAGCGCTCAGCCCCATGAGGCTCCATGGAGGCTACTACTAGTAGTGGGAGGCTCCATGGAGGCTACTAGTGGGAGGCTTGTCCGAGCCTCCTGTGGGGTGGACATGACATTGGTGAGCCAATGAGATTGAAAATACATATCGCACTGAATTGAAAACACAAATGTAGAGGGATTGACTGCCAGCCAACTGTCTCAACAGTAGCATCATCGACTGCCGTGGTGCGCCCCATCATGCTAATACAAAATCAAGGCAAGAACATCATGTTTCATGGCTGTATTGCATTTTGACGGGTAAGAGGACAGTATCGCAATATGAACTTAAGACCAACTATGGTCTTAACACACTTTTGACCATTCACATTGCCCGGTCTCTAGTATGGGTCGCAAAGCTAAGTACTTCACATTTGAAGAGAAATCAGCAGCTGCACGGCAACACAAGACATTGTATGCTCGGTCAGAACGGTAAGTATTTTGCAATCATTTATTCTTGTTAATCATATGTTTTACAGAGGTAAACTCGTTCGACAAGCTCAAAACGCTCGTGCCTATGCCAAGCATCATGGTCGACGTGGGCCTCGTATCAGATCTGGGGATCTGCATGCTCTTCAGGCGTCTTCCCTAATCCAATATTCAACCCTCTCCCTTCCTGATTCCTATCTGTTTCACCAATCTCTCACTGGATCTGACTTGATTGATCAATCCGATCTCTTGCAGTGGAACAAAGCCCCTCCTTACGACCTTCCAGCTCCACCTGATTCACCAGAGGAAGACCGTTTTCACGCAAAACCTCTGCGACGTGATGCATGGCCGGCACTTGCGCGCAGAAAGGGAATCACATGCTCGTCACGCAGCCATATATAACATGGGTGAAATCGCTGAGCTTCTGAAAGAGATCCGAGAAGCACATCAGCGGTTACTTACAGGTTGGGATGAGCTCAATGCTCGTGTTAGCAGCTTGCAGGCATGCACAAGACACAAGGTCATGGCCGAATGCTATCGCCAATGGGTAGCACGAAGGATATTGAATTATCAGAGGGAGGACAATATGCTAATTACTGGGAAGAATCCTTATACGTAGACCTTGTATTACTGTAACTCGAGAGAGCTGGTAATGCAAGCACCATACTCCGCACATAGCGTCGCAGATTGCCCATGTCCTGCTCATGTAGGCCTGTAACACGGCTGCCACGTATAACAGCGAATATTGCAGCCAATACCCCACACGCCACAATCGAAGTCGTTATTCTGAAGACGTTTGGTCTAAATAATACACGATGTCAGACTAGTCAAGAAAGCAAAGCATGAAACTCACATTCAGTGGTCGAGCCACCCACCCTGCAAGATCAATATGAACATGATGGCCGTGTTGACGCGCAACTGCAAGGAACCGAGCAATCAGTCTCATTATATCCTTTCATATCATGTGTCAATCAGTCAGGTCAGACAAAAGAACTCTTAAAAAATTAATCTCACTTTGACGTCACTTTGCCAAGGGGTCCTGTCGCCCATGCTGTCAAACAAGTAAAGTTCTTTGGTCGACAACTGGATGACGCACATCACCCAGTGTCCAATCCCTGATGGACGATGAATCGGAAGAACCCATATGTCTTTTTCCCAATAACGAATCCACATTGTATGGCGCCAGATGTTGTCGTCTGGGGCATTGTAACGAATGCGGGGAAGATCGTGAGTGGAGAGTATCGCACACCGTGCAGCGGAGGTGTTCAGTTGAGAGCACCACAGGAGAATGGCGCAGTTGTTAATGCATGTATCATTGAGGCATGCAGTAGGAGAACTGAGTATACCGATTTCTTTTGGATCAAACTCTAGACGAGGGATTCCGTCATGCGAAGGTCGTATTCGCGCGAAAATTTTAGCAGGGTCGAGGACACCTGGCTCTTGCGATGGGACGCAGAAGTCATCCACAAGGAGATTCTATGACACGTCATCGTCAACTCCTAACAATAAAAATAACCGTACCTCAGGAAGGTTCCAGCAAATCACAGCATTAGCATCGCGCCCGTAATTTGTTGAGTCATCGTCATCTAACTCAATTGCCCCCATCTCACCCTCCAGGACATCGGCCAGAGCTGCTTGTTCAGAGTCGACTTGGGGGCAATGGTCAGGATCGACGATAGGGAGTTCATCACAACCTTCAGAATCAGACACTACCAGCATGCTGGCATTAATCCAATGAAGTGCCATGTTTGGTGAGCCTCCCGAGAGGGTGGTCGCAATGGCTACTGCCTTGCTGACTTCATTAGTAAAGCGTACCGAAGAAGCCAAGCAATTTGACCATCGTGTTTGAAGGCAGATAAAATTGGCATGCCGTTGTTGCAATAGAACTGCGAATGGTTCACCTAAGGGTATATGAGATATGGAAGTTAATAAGAAAGGTTAGCTCACTGTTTGGCGACCGAAGGGCAAGTTCAAGTGCCCCCAACTCATTTCCGAAGAAGCGGCACAGGTTATCGGCCTCAACACCTAGCCGAACCTGCTCCTCTCGACACCGATCACGCTTGAGAAGTGCACGAATGCCATCTCTTGTAGATGTGTCGTCTAACCACCGCGGAACCTCTCCATGAGACGGTGTAATCCACACATCCTCCATCAGTCCTGGGTCAGAACGTAGTTCTGCAAGTTTGGTGGGAAGGGGTGCGGGCAGTGGAATCCCCCAGGATGTATCATACAATGAATCAAGCCGCTCACAGTAGGAGTTAAATTTCCTGATAGCGGTCATTAGTGCGGGCTGACGCTTGGAAATTGCTTTACGTGTCTGTTGATGCAGCTTGGTGCCTAAAAGAATCTAATAAATCATTCACAAATGAATCGGCATGAACTTACCTAACGCTTGCTGAGCGCCACCGACTGCTCGATCTAATTTATCCCACTCGAAGAAACTCGCAATCGCACAGTTTACGAACGTTCATTTTGAGATCGCGTGCCATGAGAAGGATGCGAACAAATTCGAGATTGATGCCATGAAGCTCAGGAAATCTGTCATGACGTTCAATGAGGAGGTAAAGAAGCCTCGACCTTGTTCATCAGGCGATCGTGTCCCTCTCTAGACTTTCGAGAGCCTCTAGTGTATCATCTGAAGCCATATCTTTCTCCAACATCGTCCTGGTGGTTTGCAATGCTTTGTCTGAGGCGTCCAGATCTGCCTGGGAGAGCTAAGACTGTGTCCAACTCCTTCTTGAGGCAGGCGGGTGCATCTTGTGATATCATTGAGCAATAGCCACGTCATTTAAAAATGTATAAAACTTACGAGCACGGATAGATAACTGAGATTGCCTTTGCTGCGACCACTCGGCTTGCAATTCTTCAATGGAGACCTCACATTGATCTAGTGCGTCTTGGGCTGCTGAACCTTGCCCCTTGATGCCCCGTCTGAGGCGTCGTTTGATCCAGTCGCCTAGATCAGTTCGCATCTCCGAAGCTATAGCCACTGCTTGCCGATCAATCAACCATAAACGGCGTTGGCGCTAAGCAGTGTTTTAAATTCATTAGTTTTAAATGAAAATAATAGAGTACATACACTAGAAGTGCGCTCAACACCTATCAATCGAACTAAGCGAGACCAGAGGCGTTCGGTCCCTTCACCATCAGATAAGCCAAGACCCACACATATTCGTGGGTTATATACGAGCTGGCAAGCCCACTCGTGCCCATATGCGTGCATGGCAGTGGTTGCAAATCGAAGGCGTGAGGTGATGCTTTTGGGAAGAATTTCATGCTGTAAATGGTGTAAGCAATTGTTTCAGTCCAGGATCATAACGTACCTTGGAGAGTGTTCGTGCCAAAACACAGCCGACATCATAAAGAGCTACGACAGTAGCTTCGGGGGGGAGAAGTGAAAAGAAGTGCTGAAGTAAGGCTACCGAATACTTTTGCTGTTCTCCAGGTGAGTCTATGTTGGCAAAAAATAAAGGGATGTCGTGACGACAGATAAGGGCCATGATTCCAGTGTCGTCGAAGCTATCCATTGCCGCTTTCTGTTTTTTGCCGTCAGCAGCCTCGTAAGCATTCTCGCATTGGTCAACGGCTTCATCAGGGACAAGGGGAACGTGAGACCTCACTGGTCGCTTACGTTGAGTGTCAATATGGCGCCCAATCGTGTCAACAAAGGTTTTCGGGAGAAAATAAGTAGGGTCATAGAACTTTGGACAGTCTCCAGCAGCACGTCGATGACGGTGATGGAAATTACCGTCCATTGCGACATGAATGTCACCTCCCTCATCTGTAGATCTACCATGAAGAATACCTGCAAAGCAAGCAGGACACCGTTGCACTAGAAGGGGTGCGCATTGAGTGGGCAAAGGTGAATTCGAGACTCGAGAGGATGCTTGAAACTCTGCTATACGATCACGGTGTTGTTGAACGACCGTCTCAACTTGGCGCTCAACTTCAACTTGCAGGATGTCGTACCATTGCACGGCATAGCCGAGGCCTCGTCGGAATGGGTCCTGTATAACTTCGCCCTGGGATGAATCAGTAGTGACCTAGTTATGTAAGTGATTGTTACCTGGGCGTCAGTCATCTGGTAACCCCGCCGGGAGTAGTGATTTTTGAGCGCTGATGCGAGAGCGTTAATCGCGTCACATGAGCGCTCAAACAATGCGCGGTAGAATGAGAGCAGGTCAACAGATACAGCCATTCGAGGCTGTGAAGGCGCGGTCGGAAATAGACCATGGTGAACGAGGACTTGCTGGAGAGTGGAGCAGGTACAACTTAGTACATCTATAGATGTGAACCCTATGTAGATGTCAGCAAAATTTTGATTACTGCAAGACATGGGCTCACGGTCGAAGAATAAACACATCATTGTCGTCCGTTTCGGTGTACACGAAGGCTTCCCACATGCAGATATGACTGGATGTATATTTTCCAGTGCTTTGCCCTGCGTTCGTCTGAAGTACTGGAGTACTGGATCAACAAGGGTTGGTATGAGTGCAATCCAGTTTTTGTAGAGTGAATTGGTGGATTTGTCGGGCACAATCCGCCGTTTGACAGGCGATACTGAGATCTCAAGAGATGGCTGTTCATCAGAGTGAAATTCGCTGACAACAAGATTGTCAGTATCCATGTGTTCCGTAGTCACAGTATCAGATGGTGGTGCTTGTGCCAACAACTGTGGGTGTGATTCCTCGTGTTGCGGCTTCAAAAGTCGTTCCATTGCGTCCAAAAGTCGGCGGCGCTTAGTCTCTGCGCCAGGAAGCTCAACATATGTTTGAGTTTTCCGTTTGTCTCGAGCCTTCCTTGGGCTTACAAAGTGAGATCCTAGGCCAGAAGATGCGAGTTGAGCTTTGCGAGTGCGACGTGGCGTCAAGGAAGACATGGTGAGGGAAAGAAGAGAAGAACTTACAGCGTGAATCGGGGAGGAGCAAGGCTCCCAAGCTCAGTGCATAAGAGATTACTGGAGGTGCACGAGAGGTTTTCTGGAGGTGCACGGTTTTCTGGAGGTGCACGAGAGGTTTTCTGGAGGTGCACGAGGGTTTTCTGGAGGTGCACGAGGGGTTTCTGGAGGCGCAGGTACATCCTAGGAGGGTGTGTTATTATTAGAAGGCGGGAGGGTGGGTCTCACAGACTACTTTCCCACAACATAGGAACCGGGTCTCAAAGACCGTTATTGGTTCCGAAAAGTAATGCCTGAGGTGTTCTGCCCCCCAGGAATCAATTCACCCAGTGGGCCAAACCCACAGTAGATCAGAGCTCCAACGACGCAACTACGTTAACCGTCAGTTCGAGCTTGAAGGAGAGAAGCTCTTCCAAGCGTCGGAGACCTACATATAGCACTAACTTGACTCCGATACCTTCCCATCTTCGCCCGCACTGTCCTGCAAAGGATAGACTCTACTTGTGGGAACCAACGACCTCGCGGTCCGCGAAAGATGCACAAGGAAAGTTCGTTCCTCTAACTACTGAAGATATCAATCGGATCCGAGGCGTCTTAGTGCACGCTTACTCAGAAAGCACGCGCGAAACGTACGGTTCAGGTCTACTGGTTTTCCATGTCTTTTGCGACAGCAAAATCATCCCGGAAAATCAGAGGGCACCAGCAAGCAACATACTAATAGAAGCCTTTATTGCATGCATGGTTGGCCATTATTCAGGGAAAACAGTATCTAACTACGTGAACGGAGTTCGAGCATGGCACATTATACACGGCGCGACCTGGTCGCTGAACGATGCGGCGATAGACGCCATGTTGAAGGCGGCAATGTCACTCACGCCTGCTTCCGCAAAGCGCGACAAACGGGAACCATACACCGTCGACCTAATCATTGCCATCCGGGGAAAGCTAAACCTCAACGACCCATTAGACGCATCGGTATTTGCATGTTTAACAACCATATTCTACGCTACCGCTAGAGTCGGGGAATTCACCGTCCCTCGCCTGAACGCTTTCGACCCCAAGCTACACATCACACTCGGTGGTGTCAAGGACTTGCAGGATCGACAGAACCTCGTAACCAAGAATTTCAGCCTACCGCGCACGAAAACTGCGACGGGAGGCGAAGACGTTCATTGGGCCAGACAGGCAGTCTATCCGACCCAGAAGCAGCTTTCCTGAACCATCTGCAAGTCAACAAACCCCCACAGAACTTCGCACTATTCGCGTATCGCCACAAGGACAACACGCACCGGCCACTGACAAAAACCAAGTTTTTGAGCAGGTTAGCTGCTGCAACCAAAGCTGCCGGCCACGCACCAGTGCAAGGCCACAGCATTCGTATCGGTTCAACCTTGGAATATCTCCTGCGGAACATCCCATTCGACGTGGTAAAAATCAAGGGCCGGTGGGCAAGTGACGCATTTCTCGCATACCTGCGGAAACACGCGCAGATCATGGCACCATACATGCAAGCAACTCCCACTCTACATGACCAATTCCTTCGTTATACCATTCCCCCAGTCCGTTAAAAGAACCAGGCCAAGACACTTACGAGTGAGTACGTCGCCCTTCTCCTACAAGTTGGGGATCCGAGTTTCGCTCGATGCGTCGTCGGACTCCTAACACTTGGGAATCGCAGCTCAACCTTTCTCAGTCTAGGTCTCTTTCCTCGGGGCCGGAAAGCGCTGCGCGCTTTCGCCCGAAAACTAATCTCCATCCTGTCACTACTAGTTCAATTCCATCAATTTGTGCCTACAACAAATCCCATACCTGAACTTTGAATCGCGTCGGAGTGAACCTCGAAGACCAGGACCTCGAAGCTTCCGAAGTTCCGAGTCAAGTTTGATTTACGCACGCTTGTTTATTGCGGTTGAGTTTATAATGACGACGTCACCTACTCCGTCACGCTGTCACACCAATGTAGGTTCGTCTCGACTCTCCATTGACTCTCAATGACTCCATCTTCCTCGCAGTCTTTTCCCCCGAGACGCCATAATACATCGTCGCATGCTATCGAAAAGAGCAGGATGACCCCCGCAGGATGCTGCTTCTGCGCTTGTATGTGATAGTTTGCCCATGAAAAGGAATTCACCTTCTCTCCTCGCGAGGGTCGTCTCAAAAACATAAGATATATCCCCGAGGTGTGTATGTGCCAACCTAGACCCTCGATAGACTGCAACTGTTGGGATTCACCATCAAACGAAAAATGTTAATGGGGCCAGAGGCCAGAAGAATGCACAAAAGCTAAGGACAGAGTGAGTCTGACAGTCAGGAAATGATGTAACCTCCTATCCTCGCTGAAGCCGCGTTGACGAACACTCCTTTGGTCGTTGGCTCTTCCAATGCGAGGATGACTTGAAAGCTGAATTGAAAGTGACAGACCGAGCCATATCGTTTTGATGTGTGCGTTTTGCATGTGCTCCTGTTTTATGTCAATGCTGAGGCGGAATCATAATAATAGTGAACAGTGACTACTAAGAGGTAGCATGTGGGTTTGGGAAGACGGGTTCGAGATCAGACATCAGTTACTTTTCTCGGCATTTATTGAGGTATGATGTCATTTCTCCCCCTATCTTCCGAGTACAGGTTTCTCCTGCTTGGTACTAGTAGCTCCTCAGCTTTCCGAATGACAGAACTGATTCTACACCCTCCATCTATGTTGAATTCTGGTCGTCAGTTGTAGTAAGATCGCGGGTCCATCATGATAGGCTGGTGAGCTTCGGAAATAACCTTCTCAGTCAGACTTTCTTTAAATATGACGGTCCAGCATGTTCAACATCTCTTCGGGCTCTGGTGCGGCTGAGTGAACGGGAGGCCCTGAAAGAGAGAATTGAAATATTGCATGTTACAATTTTCATTCAAATACAAGGACCCAAAGGCCGAGCGATGCGACAAGACATGAGTACAGGGCGAAATACGAGTGCCATGATAGATACGAGAGCGATGAGAAATACGAAGTGTTACAAGAATTGAGCTGCAAGAAACATGAAAATAACAGCGCTGAAGGAGGGCCATAACACGACATGCAAAGCACCCTAAACGAGCTTTACAAAGGGCCTAAGATAAGCAGGAGCGGGCGGATGGTGCCTAAAACGCGATTTGGGTGAGGAAAGACACCCCTCGAGATACCGTCTGATAAGTTATCTGCCGATTTTATCCACTCGACAGAAAACCATACACCATGGTCACGAGTGAATGCCGACAGACTGCGTAGAATATCATTCTGCGCAGGGCTACGAGAGCGACCGGCTCTGATGGCACCTACAACTCCCTGATTGTCGGAGCAGAAGCGGATATGGGCATCGCGAAGGCCGGAATGAATAAGAGCGCGAAGACCAAGGTCAACGGCCACCATTTCTGCCCACCCGATGTCGCGTCCATCTGACTTCCACCCTGGGAGCAAGCGCCAACCGAGCCAGCAGCCATCGACTAAGAGCCAATGCCAAAGGAAGTCGAAGCATTCACAAAGACCTGTAAAGGAAGGGGAGGTGGCACGGGATGGAGAACCCGAGCACATTCGGCTGCGCTGAGCTGGGAACGCCACCAGACGACATCCGATAAAACTCTGGATGGAATGCGGTGTTGAGTTGAGGTGAAGATGATGACTTGAATGAAGCTAGAAGGCGATAGAAAGAGGATAAGAAGGCACGACCTTCACGAAGGACAAGACAACAATGTTGGAGACAGCCAATAACAGATTCACAGTCCGCACGGGTGACGAGCCTATCCTCGGACCAAGTCTCCAGGCGTGTAAGGTATTTTGCACATTTAGAGGGAGGAATGACAACCTTCCGAACGCATTGAAACCCCGAGCTGGCCATGGAACAGTATCTCCAGTTACTGTGGATTAATTAATGCTCGGCGGCAACTTGAATACACCTTTTCTCTCTATATACTGGTACCTACTGATATTTACGGCCATATTCTGGCCTTTCTATGGCTACGTTATTTATTGCCCCTCAAAATTCAATCAGCGTTGATCGGACCTATGATCGTCCACTCCTTACTGGGCATCCAGTTTCTTCTGCTTCTCCCGCTCAACACTGGCTTCTCTCCAGTCCCTGCCTTTGTACAATACCAGCAGAATTATGCCCTCAATAACGACCATCAGACATGCCCAGAGAGTATACAGACCACCGTCGCCAATCGTGTCCTACACTAACCTCAGATCTGGACTTCTGCGAGCTGCTATGACCTTGACTCACTTGTAAGGAACCGCAATCTCAGCGGCGACAAAAGCAAACAGACCACGGAAAGAACTATTTGCTGCGACTGCCATTGATGAGCGACCAGTGTTTGCGTCGACAATGTATGCTAGTGTGCTTGTGTAGATCCATCTATCGTAGATGAGAGCAAAATACAATATAAAACGGAATGAACGTACATGGATAGAAATCCTGCGAGAACAGCATCACACACACGGCGGCAATATTGACTCGTTCTTGGCACACCCAGGCGTATCCAATCACAGATGGGGTAACCACAACATGGCGATTTCGTGCTCTCGAGGCGCATCTGCATGAATTTGCATCAGCCACATGCTGAGCTAGAGTTGGTGTTCAATGTTCACCTCTGGAAAGCTGACCCCTCCGTTTGCGGCCTTCAGCCGAGCAAGTGTCCGATCGGACCAACG